TAACCTACACAAAAAACAAGTCCTTATTTTTGCAACTCAAACATACACAACAAGAACAATGTCATAATATAAATTATACCACACAAATACTCTTATAATTACTAAAAAAATATAAAAAAGTTAAATATATTTTTTACAGGTAGGGTAGAGTAGGAATGCGGAAATTGATGGACATTCCTACTCAATTTAATTAGAAGACTAAAAACCCTTTCGCATCCCTATTTTATTTTTTGCGGCTAGTCGTTCAATAGGATAGGGTAGGAAATTGTGGTCAATTGGTAGGGTAGGAAATTATGGTTAATTGAAAATTTGAATACTCCTAATTTTCTTTATTAAATTCGGGATGTTAATATTAGCCGTCGGTTAACTTTAAAGTAAAATTTAAATAGATCTCAACCGCAAAAAATACAAGTAATTTTGTTTATTTTTTGAGATTTGAATTGTATTATATTTTATTATATAGATACACACATATATTATATGTAATAAAAGTTAATGCATATATATACTAGTTATAACCGATGCTTGAAGGCACGATGAAATATAAAATTCGAACATCTAAAAAATCAATTTCACTATATTAAATACTAATTTTTCTTTTCTTCATCTATTTGATTACATCATTTAAAATTTATTTTTACTTAATATATTTTTACAAATATCGACAAAAATACGTAATTCGATAATTTTTTCAATATATGTATATTATCGTGTATAGATAATATCTAAAATAAAAATTATATTAAACTACAAATTAATCAAATATTAAATGATTAAATATACGATAGAAATATTAAATAGGCAATGAAATAATTTTGAGAGAAATATGTATAGGATAAAATTTCAAACAATTATGTAGATTAATCAAATTGAATTTTCTTCAAATTGAATTTATATATATTCATATTCGATTTAAGATATAAATTAATTCAGATAAATAAATAAAATATATTAGTTTATATCTAATTAAATGAATTTAAATATAAATCAGATTCAAAACAAAACTCGATTCTTAGCCTCTACAGTGAAGCCTAGATTGCAGAAAACTGCGGACTCAGCAAAAAGTCTAGTCGAGTCTCATGGTATAACCCCACACTATGAAATTAACGGTCCCGGTAAATTGAATCATCCTAAGTCCTAGTCAATTCAGCATGGCGATGTTTGGATCGCTCCGACAGAATTAAATTGGATTAGATTAAATTTGAATCAAAATTAATTCTATCGAATATAAAATGATTCAAATTTAAAAATTATAAAGTATAGATTCAAATCTTGTTCCATTTTTATTATAATTGGACTCGATGACTCACATTAGTAGTAGGATTCATCTAATGCTGAGTTGTTTATGTTTTACCTGAAACCATAAATATAACTTAGATAAATATCGAAAAAAACAAAACTCAATGTTGAGTCCGACAATCGAAGGAAGAGAAGCAATGGATCGAAAAACTTCTACCGAATCTGAAAATCGGAGTGTGATCGAGCACAAGGCGTATGCGAGAGTGGGACTTCTCGGCAACCCCAGCGATGTCTACTATGGTCGCACCATCTCTTTCAGCCTCGCAAACTTCTGGGCTTCTGTTCGTTTGGAGCCTTCCAATGATCTCGTCATCGTTCCTCACCCTACTCACGATCTCGTCCAGTTCAATTCCATTGGTCATCTGGTCTCTACTTATCTTTCGCTCTTTTTTTACATATATCTTTGTATGTTTTGTTGATCTTGATCTGCAATTCGAGACTAGCATTGTAGAAGATAATGGATCTTGTTTTGCATTGGTTAGATTAATATTTTAAGAACGGGTGGTGAAATTTAGATTGCTTGTATCGATGGGATGGTGTATGATTCGATCTGTGAGTGATTTGATCTTGTTGTGTATAATTGGTGCTCTACATTTAATTTCTCATATGCCGAAAATTGTGATCCTCTGAAATATCATGTATCTCTCAATAGTAGTTGTATTTTGCTGTTGGAGAGCTTTTATTGCTCGAGTTATTATGCTTTTTTAGTTGTCTAGGAGGTCCAGTTGCCTTAAGTTACTGTTTGAATCTTGATTAGGTTTTTTTTTAATGTGTTACTGATCCTGTTCATTTTGCATCTCAATTGTAAATTGGATGATCCTGACACTTTAATATATGGAAGCCAAGCAAAACCAGCTTAGATTAGAAGTAGAAAAGTGGTATTTTAGCCATATAATAAAAGTAGGGGATATCTTCAGATATGCACATATTATGTGGTATCCAATTTGTTGGTTTACTTTTGAGCTGCTGGACGAATGTGGTTCGAAAAATCTAATAATTTACGGCAAGGATTGTGGTTATGCTAGGACAATTAATCCTATAGATGCAAGTCATGTGATCCTTGGGAAGAGAGGAGCTTACAGGTGTGTATTGGGGGTGATCATGGTCATAGATTTTGATAACAACTGGTATTGAATTGTTGTCTGCTACACGGAGTTATCTGGGAAGTTAAAATAGAACCTCTAGACGAAGTGATGTCAAATAGAAATGGGTTGAGATTGCGAAAAGAGAGGTGGTGAAGGATTATTTAGCAGTGGTTGTTGCTTTTGATAGAGGAAACTTGTGATGTAGAGTAGTTGATGTGGCTTTATTGAGGTGCAACAGTGCTAAGAGTCTGTAATTATCATAGACACAGGTATATCAGTAACAATTGGTGCTTGAGAGTTCTGGCCTATTCTTATGAAGATTCGTAGCCATCTACAGAATGCTAACTGAAACCTGTTATTTATGAGAAGATCTAGTGTCCTTGGATGATTGTTCACTTGTAACATATTAAGAGGTAACCATATAAGTTCCAAATTTAGTACATACAATTTAGCTTACCCCTAAGAGAACTTGTTGTCTTGTAACTGTGGGCAACGGTATCAGTTTCTGCTAGTTTAAAATATTTTGCAGAGGATTATCATTAATTTAATCATTACATTTTTGAGAAACATATTTTGGTTCTCTCTCTATATCTCTCACTCGTGAAAATGTTTGTCGTGACACGGATTCCCTTTAGAATCACCATTTAGATATTCTGTATATTTCCATCAAGTTCTATGATAAATAAATTGCTCTCAACCTTTTGTCTGACAGGTGAATCGGTTGCAAAATGAAGGTTACTATGGAGGTGTGCGTCTGCTTATGGCAATTGGCAAAGTTTTTTTCAATTATTGTAAAGATAACCATATTGAGCTTCATGAAGGAAATTTTACTTTGTCATATGATACAAACATCCCTCGCCAGGTAAAGCTTAAGTTGTTTTTAAATGTTCTATGTGATATTTACTATTTTGTTTGTGTAAAGCAATCACTGTACAACTTTTTCAATACAAATGAGTCTTTTGATACTTTAATCGTTGCTGGGCTTTTCCTCTTCAGCCACATACAATTTTTGCTTTTAAAGTAAAACTGAGCAATATTAATGGTATTTTGTATTACATTAGGCATTTTCACTTGAGTCACTTGTAAAAATGAGTCACTTGTGGCAATCGCACATATCGATTGTTTGTCAACAAGGATTTTCTCAAGACACCTTTTTTAAGAAGGCTCGGCCTTATGATCGCCAGGTTCTTACATCTATGGCTAGTCGCTTATAAAAGGACTTATGTCTAGCTGTTTATTCTGAATAGAATAAGTGATAAAGCATCACAACTTTTCATTTCTTCTTTCGGGTTTCTTTATAGGTTGCTTCTGCATGTTGATGCAGCCCTGTTTTCTTTNGTAGAGTAGGAATGCGGAAATTGATGGACATTCCTACTCAATTTAATTAGAAGACTAAAAACCCTTTCGCATCCCTATTTTATTTTTTGCGGCTAGTCGTTCAATAGGATAGGGTAGGAAATTGTGGTCAATTGGTAGGGTAGGAAATTATGGTTAATTGAAAATTTGAATACTCCTAATTTTCTTTATTAAATTCGGGATGTTAATATTAGCCGTCGGTTAACTTTAAAGTAAAATTTAAATAGATCTCAACCGCAAAAAATACAAGTAATTTTGTTTATTTTTTGAGATTTGAATTGTATTATATTTTATTATATAGATACACACATATATTATATGTAATAAAAGTTAATGCATATATATACTAGTTATAACCGATGCTTGAAGGCACGATGAAATATAAAATTCGAACATCTAAAAAATCAATTTCACTATATTAAATACTAATTTTTCTTTTCTTCATCTATTTGATTACATCATTTAAAATTTATTTTTACTTAATATATTTTTACAAATATCGACAAAAATACGTAATTCGATAATTTTTTCAATATATGTATATTATCGTGTATAGATAATATCTAAAATAAAAATTATATTAAACTACAAATTAATCAAATATTAAATGATTAAATATACGATAGAAATATTAAATAGGCAATGAAATAATTTTGAGAGAAATATGTATAGGATAAAATTTCAAACAATTATGTAGATTAATCAAATTGAATTTTCTTCAAATTGAATTTATATATATTCATATTCGATTTAAGATATAAATTAATTCAGATAAATAAATAAAATATATTAGTTTATATCTAATTAAATGAATTTAAATATAAATCAGATTCAAAACAAAACTCGATTCTTAGCCTCTACAGTGAAGCCTAGATTGCAGAAAACTGCGGACTCAGCAAAAAGTCTAGTCGAGTCTCATGGTATAACCCCACACTATGAAATTAACGGTCCCGGTAAATTGAATCATCCTAAGTCCTAGTCAATTCAGCATGGCGATGTTTGGATCGCTCCGACAGAATTAAATTGGATTAGATTAAATTTGAATCAAAATTAATTCTATCGAATATAAAATGATTCAAATTTAAAAATTATAAAGTATAGATTCAAATCTTGTTCCATTTTTATTATAATTGGACTCGATGACTCACATTAGTAGTAGGATTCATCTAATGCTGAGTTGTTTATGTTTTACCTGAAACCATAAATATAACTTAGATAAATATCGAAAAAAACAAAACTCAATGTTGAGTCCGACAATCGAAGGAAGAGAAGCAATGGATCGAAAAACTTCTACCGAATCTGAAAATCGGAGTGTGATCGAGCACAAGGCGTATGCGAGAGTGGGACTTCTCGGCAACCCCAGCGATGTCTACTATGGTCGCACCATCTCTTTCAGCCTCGCAAACTTCTGGGCTTCTGTTCGTTTGGAGCCTTCCAATGATCTCGTCATCGTTCCTCACCCTACTCACGATCTCGTCCAGTTCAATTCCATTGGTCATCTGGTCTCTACTTATCTTTCGCTCTTTTTTTACATATATCTTTGTATGTTTTGTTGATCTTGATCTGCAATTCGAGACTAGCATTGTAGAAGATAATGGATCTTGTTTTGCATTGGTTAGATTAATATTTTAAGAACGGGTGGTGAAATTTAGATTGCTTGTATCGATGGGATGGTGTATGATTCGATCTGTGAGTGATTTGATCTTGTTGTGTATAATTGGTGCTCTACATTTAATTTCTCATATGCCGAAAATTGTGATCCTCTGAAATATCATGTATCTCTCAATAGTAGTTGTATTTTGCTGTTGGAGAGCTTTTATTGCTCGAGTTATTATGCTTTTTTAGTTGTCTAGGAGGTCCAGTTGCCTTAAGTTACTGTTTGAATCTTGATTAGGTTTTTTTTTAATGTGTTACTGATCCTGTTCATTTTGCATCTCAATTGTAAATTGGATGATCCTGACACTTTAATATATGGAAGCCAAGCAAAACCAGCTTAGATTAGAAGTAGAAAAGTGGTATTTTAGCCATATAATAAAAGTAGGGGATATCTTCAGATATGCACATATTATGTGGTATCCAATTTGTTGGTTTACTTTTGAGCTGCTGGACGAATGTGGTTCGAAAAATCTAATAATTTACGGCAAGGATTGTGGTTATGCTAGGACAATTAATCCTATAGATGCAAGTCATGTGATCCTTGGGAAGAGAGGAGCTTACAGGTGTGTATTGGGGGTGATCATGGTCATAGATTTTGATAACAACTGGTATTGAATTGTTGTCTGCTACACGGAGTTATCTGGGAAGTTAAAATAGAACCTCTAGACGAAGTGATGTCAAATAGAAATGGGTTGAGATTGCGAAAAGAGAGGTGGTGAAGGATTATTTAGCAGTGGTTGTTGCTTTTGATAGAGCAAACTTGTGATGTAGAGTAGTTGATATGGCTTTATTGAGGTGCAACAGTGCTAAGAGTCTGTAATTATCATAGACACAGGTATATCAGTAACAATTGGTGCTTGAGAGTTCTGGCCTATTCTTATGAAGATTCGTAGCCATCTACAGAATGCTAACTGAAACCTGTTATTTATGAGAAGATCTAGTGTCCTTGGATGATTGTTCACTTGTAACATATTAAGAGGTAACCATATAAGTTCCAAATTTAGTACGTACTATTTAGCTTAACCCTAAGAGAACTTGTTGTCTTGTAACTGTGGGCAAAGGTATCAGTTTCTGCTAGTTTAAAATATTTTGCAGAGGATTATCATTAATTTAATCATTACATTTTTGAGAAACATATTTTGGTTCTCTCTCTATATCTCTCACTCGTGAAAATGTTTGTCGTGACACGGATTCCCTTTAGAATCACCATTTAGATATTCTGTATATTTCCATCAAGTTCTATGATAAATAAATTGCTCTCAACCTTTTGTCTGACAGGTGAATCGGTTGCAAAATGAAGGTTACTATGGAGGTGTGCGTCTGCTTATGGCAATTGGCAAAGTTTTTTTCAATTATTGTAAAGATAACCATATTGAGCTTCATGAAGGAAATTTTACTTTGTCATATGATACAAACATCCCTCGCCAGGTAAAGCTTAAGTTGTTTTTAAATGTTCTATGTGATATTTACTATTTTGTTTGTGTAAAGCAATCACTGTACAACTTTTTCAATACAAATGAGTCTTTTGATACTTTAATCGTTGCTGGGCTTTTCCTCTTCAGCCACATACAATTTTTGCTTTTAAAGTAAAACTGAGCAATATTAATGGTATTTTGTATTACATTAGGCATTTTCACTTGAGTCACTTGTAAAAATGAGTCACTTGTGGCAATCGCACATATCGATTGTTTGTCAACAAGGATTTTCTCAAGACACCTTTTTTAAGAAGGCTCGGCCTTATGATCGCCAGGTTCTTACATCTATGGCTAGTCGCTTATAAAAGGACTTATGTCTAGCTGTTTATTCTGAATAAAATAAGTGATAAAGCATCACAACTTTTCATTTCTTCTTTCGGGTTTCTTTATAGGTTGCTTCTGCATGTTGATGCAGCCCTGTTTTCTGTTTTCTTGTTAAATTGTATCTGCAAATTGATGCAATCTTACTTGCGACATTTTTTTCGTTGATTGACATGTAGATGAAACTTACTTCTTTGTTTTAAGTGAGAGGCTTATACATACTTTCCTCCAAGTTTTGACGTTCCTTGCAATTGGCTCACACTTTAGTTGACCTTTCACATAGTGAAATCTCAAAATCGATGAGTTTCAACGGAGTTTTTTGCAACAACCATCTTCTAAATTTGTAAGCCTTCCACCTTGAGTCAATTCAATTTTCGTCAAATAAAAAATTCCAATTTGTAAAATAATAGGAGGCTGTATACAAAGTGGATGAGAGAGGAAATGATATCCCTTTTCTTTTCTAAAAGTTTTGTTGGTCTTCGTTGGGGCATGGACATAAAAATTCATGTACCAAACACTTCCTTGCATTATGTTGCTTTATGTTCCTTTCTAATCTAGTTAGTTGCAAACATGCTGATTGCTCGATAAAAAAGTGCAGTTATGTGTCTTTCCAAAGCTCAATTTATTGTTGTCAAACTTGAAATAATTTTGTTTCAAAAAAAGAAATAATTTTGTTCAAAAAATATGACTTAAAATTTATTCTTGATGTCTCAGACAGGACTTTCTGGTTCTAGTGCTATTGTATGTGCTGCCCTTAGTTGTCTTCTCGACTTTTACAATGTTAGGCATATTGTTAAAGTGGAGGTTAGACCTAACCTTGTACTTAATGCGGAAAAAGAACTTGGAATTGTTGCCGGTCTCCAGGACAGGGTAGCACAGGTTTATGGGGGCCTCGTATATATGGTATGTGATTTTAAGATTTTATATAGCAGCACATTACGGGTATAAAGATAACATATTTAACTTTTTTTTTTTTTTGCAGGATTTTAGCAAGAAATACATGGATGACTTGGGGCATGGCATTTATACACCTATGGATATTAATCTTCTCCCTCCTCTCCANGGACTCAGCAAAAAGTCTAGTCGAGTCTCATGGTATAACCCCACACTACGAAATTAACGGTCCCGGTAAATTGAATCATCCTAAGTCCTAGTCAATTCAGCATGGCGATGTTTGGATCGCTCCGACAGAATTAAATTGGATTAGATTAAATTTGAATCAAAATTAATTCTATCGAATATAAAATGATTCAAATTTAAAAATTATAAAGTATAGATTCAAATCTTGTTCCATTTTTATTATAATTGGACTCGATGACTCACATTAGTAGTAGGATTCATCTAATGCTGAGTTGTTTATGTTTTACCTGAAACCATAAATATAACTTAGATAAATATCGAAAAAAACAAAACTCAATGTTGAGTCCGACAATCGAAGGAAGAGAAGCAATGGATCGAAAAACTTCTACCGAATCTGAAAATCGGAGTGTGATCGAGCACAAGGCGTATGCGAGAGTGGGACTTCTCGGCAACCCCAGCGATGTCTACTATGGTCGCACCATCTCTTTCAGCCTCGCAAACTTCTGGGCTTCTGNGTACTATTTAGCTTAACCCTAAGAGAACTTGTTGTCTTGTAACTGTGGGCAAAGGTATCAGTTTCTGCTAGTTTAAAATATTTTGCAGAGGATTATCATTAATTTAATCATTACATTTTTGAGAAACATATTTTGGTTCTCTCTCTATATCTCTCACTCGTGAAAATGTTTGTCGTGACACGGATTCCCTTTAGAATCACCATTTAGATATTCTGTATATTTCCATCAAGTTCTATGATAAATAAATTGCTCTCAACCTTTTGTCTGACAGGTGAATCGGTTGCAAAATGAAGGTTACTATGGAGGTGTGCGTCTGCTTATGGCAATTGGCAAAGTTTTTTTCAATTATTGTAAAGATAACCATATTGAGCTTCATGAAGGAAATTTTACTTTGTCATATGATACAAACATCCCTCGCCAGGTAAAGCTTAAGTTGTTTTTAAATGTTCTATGTGATATTTACTATTTTGTTTGTGTAAAGCAATCACTATACAACTTTTTCAATACAAATGAGTCTTTTGATACTTTAATCGTGGCTGGGCTTTTCCTCTTCAGCCACATACAATTTTTGCTTTTAAAGTAAAACTGAGCAATATTAATGGTATTTTGTATTACATTAGGCATTTTCACTTGAGTCACTTGTGGCAATCGCACATATCGATTGTTTGTCAACAAGGATTTTCTCAAGACACCTTTTTTAAGAAGGCTCGGCCTTATGATCGCCAGGTTCTTACATCTATGGCTAGTCGCTTATAAAAGGACTTATGTCTAGCTGTTTATTCTGAATAAAATAAGTGATAAAGCATCACAACTTTTCATTTCTTCTTTCGGGTTTCTTTATAGGTTGCTTCTGCATGTTGATGCAGCCCTGTTTTCTGTTTTCTTGTTAAATTGTATCTGCAAATTGATGCAATCTTACTTGCGACATTTTTTTCGTTGATTGACATGTAGATGAAACTTACTTCTTTGTTTTAAGTGAGAGGCTTATACATACTTTCCTCCAAGTTTTGACGTTCCTTGCAATTGGCTCACACTTTAGTTGACCTTTCACATAGTGAAATCTCAAAATCGATGAGTTTCAACGGAGTTTTTTGCAACAACCATCTTCTAAATTTGTAAGCCTTCCACCTTGAGTCAATTCAATTTTCGTCAAATAAAAAATTCCAATTTGTAAAATAATAGGAGGCTGTATACAAAGTGGATGAGAGAGGAAATGATATCCCTTTTCTTTTCTAAAAGTTTTGTTGGTCTTCGTTGGGGCATGGACATAAAAATTCATGTACCAAACACTTCCTTGCATTATGTTGCTTTATGTTCCTTTCTAATCTAGTTAGTTGCAAACATGCTGATTGCTCGATAAAAAAGTGCAGTTATGTGTCTTTCCAAAGCTCAATTTATTGTTGTCAAACTTGAAATAATTTTGTTTCAAAAAAAGAAATAATTTTGTTCAAAAAATATGACTTAAAATTTATTCTTGATGTCTCAGACAGGACTTTCTGGTTCTAGTGCTATTGTATGTGCTGCCCTTAGTTGTCTTCTCGACTTTTACAATGTTAGGCATATTGTTAAAGTGGAGGTTAGACCTAACCTTGTACTTAATGCGGAAAAAGAACTTGGAATTGTTGCCGGTCTCCAGGACAGGGTAGCACAGGTTTATGGGGGCCTCGTATATATGGTATGTGATTTTAAGATTTTATATAGCAGCACATTACGGGTATAAAGATAACATATTTAACTTTTTTTTTTTTTTGCAGGATTTTAGCAAGAAATACATGGATGACTTGGGGCATGGCATTTATACACCTATGGATATTAATCTTCTCCCTCCTCTCCATCTCATTTATGCAGAGAATCCAAGTGACTCTGGGAAGGTTTATAATGACTGATTCTTTTGATTGTTATACTTATTTTTTTGTAGTATATAATTTTTTAATTTAAATTTAGTTTGAATAAAATATATCGAGCTTAAAGTAGAACTAAATTTAATTGATTCAAAACAAAATCAAATCAGAAAAAGACGAGACGTGTGGCGCGTTATGGGCCAATCAGTTCCCATTACTTAGTAGATAAGAAGAGAGAGAAATTCAAAGGTTTTTCCATCTTCATCTTGCGATGTAGGGTGATTCGGTCGTCGGAATCCTTTGGACCAAGAACATAAGTTGCAGTCATTTGTCACAGCGCAAAGCTCTCTAAAAAGTGCTAAGTAAGTAAGTCTCCAATTTAACTACAAGAGGGGATGTCAAAAGAGTTTGAGGGAATGAGAATGAAACTCAGCTTCCCTATTTATAGATTCTTGACCAAGTGTCCTAAATCTAAGGCTATTTCTAGAATATTATCTACAAATTTTTAGGCTATTTCTAAAATGTTATCTGCAATCTAGTACAATAATACTCTGGAATATTTCAAGATTTTCTAGAATACTCTAAATTTCTCAAGGCTTCTCTAACTTATTCTTTAGTCATGTGGCAAGTCATTGGCCTCTCCTATGTGCCATTTTCTTTTGTTAAAATGTTACTCTTTTGGCATCAACTACCTTGCATTTTTCCGTTANAAGGCTTCTCTAACTTATTCTTTAGTCACGTGGCAAGTCATTGGCCTCTCCTATGTGCGATTTTTTCTTTTGTTAAAATGTTACTCTTTTGGCATCAACTACCTTGCATTTTTCCGTTATTGAAACAAATATTAAGGCACATTAGTAGAACAAGGAACCAGAATTTAGTTTCACAAGGCATGTTATTAATACAAGGAACGGTGTGGAAGCTAGTATTCTTCTTCATGACTTCGAAATTGAGACCTTCAGAGCTGGAGGGACATCTGACAGAACAAAGGTCTTCCTGTAAATGCTTTTATCTGATATAACATGTTCTATACAGGTACACAGTACAGTTAGGCAAAAGTGGCTTGATGGTGATAAGTTTATCATATCATCAATGGAANGGTGTGGAAGCTAGTATTCTTCTTCATGACTTCGAAATTGAGACCTTTAGAGCTGGAGGGACATCTGACAGAACAAAGGTCTTCCTGTAAATGCTTTTATCTGATAAAACATGTTCTATACAGGTACACAGTACAGTTAGGCAAAAGTGGCTTGATGGTGATAAGTTTATCATATCATCAATGGAAGAAGTCGCTAATGTAGCTTTAGAAGGACATACAGCATTGCTTGAAAAGGATTATAGCAAACTTGCAAGCCTCATGAATCGTAATTTTGACCTCCGAAGGTAAACATAGCACTTACCTCTCGAGCTGAGTTCTGAAAAAAGAGTACTATTTGGTCCACTTCCTGAGTCTTTCTCTTGCTCTATCCCCTTGAAGCTTTTCTAATGTCTTGTGTTTGAATCTTGTGATGTAGTTGTCAGTATAGGAAATAGCTCTTGTACTACTGCACAACCACAATTTTGTTTGTTTACTGTTAGAAACATAGATATGTCCTTGCATTATAATCTGATATATAGTACTCAGCTTCGATATATGGATTTCATACAGGCGCATGTTTGGAGACAGTGTCCTTNAGCTGAGTTCTGAAAAAAGAGTACTATTTGGTCCACTTCCTGAGTCTTTCTCTTGCTCTATCCCCTTGGAGCTTTTCTAATGTCTTGTGTTTGAATCTTGTGATGTAGTTGTCAGTATAGGAAATAGCTCTTGTACTACTCCACAACCACAATTTTGTTTGTTTACTGTTAGAAACATAGATATGTCCTTGCATTATAATCTGATATATAGTACTCAGCTTCGATATATGGATTTCATACAGGCGCATGTTTGGAGACAGTGTCCTTGGTGCTCTTAACATAGAGATGGTGGAAGTGGCCCGACAGGTGGGTGCTGCCTCAAAATTTACTGGTAGTGGAGGTGCCATAGTTGCATTTTGCCCTGATGGCTCTTCACAAGTTAAGCTCCTGGAGGATGCATGTCAAAAAGCTGGTTTTGTTTTTCAACCAATTAAAGTTGTTCCTTCTTGTTTAAATGATATGGACCTCTCAACCTTATCATCAAGATAGACTCAATCAGATGTTTCAGATTTAATCCGTCCACTTTTCATTCCTTCTCCTTTTGAAGTTCATTGAACTGATACAGCAAAACTTTCTGTTTTTTTTTTAAATGCCTAAATTTTTTAGTTGTTCTAATAATCTATTATGAGATGTGTATATAATCATTTGATACTGCTTTGGGAATGACTGAAAAAGCATGACAAGCGACCACATTTTGGTGTTAATTTAAGAAATTGAGTTATACCCACTGTAACGCTTTGGATGTCACGATGTTTCTCCTGATTGACATTAAAACAGTTGGCTTCATACTAGTGATGACGCCGTCTCATGTAATCAAGCTCATCAATCCTTCAAATCATTCCCTTCTATGAATTCACATTCCTTTTAGCAAACAGGACAAAGAAATCAAACTCTAGCCACACAAAATCTTTAACATAATTACAANGCCGTCTCATGTAATCAAGCTCATCAATCCTTCAAATCATTCCCTTCTATGAATTCACATTCCTTTTCGCAAACAGGACAAAGAAATCAAACTCTAGCCACACAAAATCTTTAACATAATTACAAAGAGTATTCACCATCAAATCACTCAACTTTCTCTCCAGATTACAGATCAAATTGTTCTTAGATACGAAAGGCTTCATCTTCCTTCAACTGTATCTTATGTTCATTCATAACATTGTTAACAAATCTGCTCAATCATCGTTACTTCTTCAGGATACAGTTCAAAATCTAGATCATCAGAGAATCTACATAAACAACATATTTTGATAGGGGCCTTTTTATACACTAACCTTACTGTCACAACTACAACCAGGATTGGAAACTTTCTACAATAACCAACTAGGTGATTTCCTACAATAATCTCAATCTTCACAGAGAGATGCTAAGAGCTCACGCGGCGAAGCTGCCCAAATTGGAAGATCAATGAAGGATCGCTTTGTTCTCTCAAGTTGTGAATCGCACATAGCTTCAGCTACGTCACATAAATTTGAAGCATCGCGAATTATAGCTTCTTGGGCCTCAACCTACAAGACAGAAACTCGAACAAATTAGAACAACAAACTGAGTATGGTTTTACTGGGTATAAAAACGAGTATGAAGAAAAACTCTTTCCTTTTTTCCCCAATTAATGAATTAACAAGCCAAAGTTGTACAGAATAAATTGCTGATAACATCCCAATCCAGTTAAACGTAATGGCAGAACTGTGGCAGTTAATTGATGTGGTACAGTACAGGGCTAAATTAGCCCTGTCTGGCAGCTGAGAGACTGAAATGGACGAAACTATGAGATATTTGGATATTTTCTTTCCCCTTTATCAATTGGTACCCAGTAAAATTTTGAGTCAGCTGGGTTTACTCGCTGAAATACAGTTTTAGGTTACTGTCCATATTTTCTGAGCAAACAAACACAGAACATAAAGGTCGAAGAACACGCGATGCAAAATTTACCTGAATGAGGAGATCATCCACGATTCTACGGTTAGTAGAGTCTGACGACTGGGCCGGCAAGAGAGGCGAGCTCATAGACGGATCAATCGACGTCTCAATTTCTTGCCGTTGTTGTTGGTTCCGGGTTAGTTCTTGCATGGTCTTCAAGGTGTTCGACAAATGTTCCCACTGGTCGATCTCTTTCTGATACCTCATTTTGATTCTAATTAGTGCCATTTTCTTTCGTTCTCTGCGATTCTTCTCTTCGGCCGCTGGATCTGGTGCTGTTGAGGCGGAGGCGGAGGCTGCTGTCGGGTCAAAACGGCGCTTCTTCCGTTTGTAGACGAATCCATCATCGTTGATGAGCTCCCACTCGTCGTCTTCTGTCCAATCGGCTGTATCCATGGCCTCCACGAGCGCTAAGGATAAAATTAGAAAGCCCCAAAAGATTTGGAAAGGGTGGGAACTGAGTATTTCAAATATTGGGGAGAGAGAGAGAGAGAGAGAGATCCTGCGAATACGCCGAGTCCGGGAGACGACGATTTTTGTTTATTAATGACCCCAAAAAATCAAGTCATGCAAAAAAAAAAAAAAGAGCAAATCTCCCCTTATATCCTGAAAAATGACTTAATTCTCAATTTATATTATTAATATTATGAATTAATAGTAATGTAAATTTGATCAAGACTTTCATTTAATTTTTTATCATAAATTGAAGCATGTAAGGTGCAAATATTTCCTGGATGAGCATGAAGTATGTCTATGACTACAAATCTTTGCCTATGATCAATTTAATATCGTTGTTTATATTAAAAATAATATTTCTTTACAAAGATAGAGACTAACGATATCACGTGACACAGGATGTGTCAATAATTCGTGAATTTATACATAAGTAAGCATTTATAATTCACGTATTTTAATTTTTGGCGAACAACTGAACGATAATCTGAATGAGATTTATATTTCTATCAATCCATAACAATAAGAGTACAAATTGATATTTTTAATATTTAAAGGTGTAAATTGAAAGTTGATACATTTTTTGGGGTACAAAATAAAAATAATCCAAAAATTATTTAATTTTAGTGGTAATTACTACTATTATACAATGGTTATTTTTTAAAACTGTCCTCTCTAAAGGTTTGCACTAAAATTATTGTGTAAATCAATTGAAAAAGTCTAAAAGTTTGCACTAAAATTATTGTGAGTTCAAAAATTAAATTTTTTATATTGTACTCTTAATATATTAAAAATTTTATAATGTAACCCTTTTATTATTTTTCTGTTAATTTTTTTATTAGTGTTAATAAATTAACTTTTGACAAAAAAAAAAAAGTTAAAAAAAATGTCATATTATAACGTTTTTAATATATTAAAATTTTAATATAAAAAAAATAATTTTTTAAAAAATAAAATAAAAATCTTAAAATATTTTAAAATACAAAATACTCAAATCCCCCTCCCCTCTTTTATTTTTCCCTAAACAAACGCGCACCCTAAAAACACAAAACAGTCGAGAGTGGGAGTGGAGACGCTCCACCAGAACTGGACCAACCGAATCCATGGTGAAATCAATATCTGTAACCCGTATGTCTCTCATCCTCCTCCGCCAAAACCCTACTATGTCATCCTTCAGAGCAATACCAAACTCTGTCTTCCTACCCCCAAAACTCAAACCTTCCACCCCAACGCTCTCAATCAAACCCTTCTCCACCACTGCAACTCCATACCCACTTCAATACGAAATGATAATCTCTCGCCCAGCTCAGTCCTCATCCACCCAACCTCGGCGCCGACTCCAACCACTCCCTAAATCCAAACCCAACGACTCGGAACCGGGGTCGGAACTCGGATTTGACGATTGGGTCGATCGTAAACTAACATCGGACAAACCCATGTTGAGTAACGTAGGGATGGATAAGTCTAAAAGGAAGTATTACAACAAGAGGAGAAAAAGAATGTATGGGTCAGATTCAGAAGATGACAATAATCGTCGAGACGATAATAATTTTGTTGAATTGAAGCAAGAAGTGGTCGAGCTCCGAACATTGCATAAGAAAGAAGAGGAATTATACTTCTACGACACATTTGCGTATCCGTGGGAGAAGGACAAGCATTACAAGATGGTGTATCAGCTGGAGAAGAAGTATTTTCCTGATCAGTGTTTCGATAAGGCGTTTCTTCAACCCGGTGAATCTAATAAGAATACAAAGGAAAAGAGAGTCGCAAAAGAGAGGAATGAGAAGGGTGCGGATGGTGGGGACGGTAGAGGGTTGGTGTTTTTTGAGGAGGAAAAGAATGAGAGAGAAGTGGTTGGAGTGAAGGATGTCAAAATTGATGTTTCGGAGAAGAAGGTGGAGGAGTTTTTCAAATGTTTGAAAAAAGTTCCCAATAAAGATAGTGATGTTGCCGATACCAATGCGGAACCGTTTGTTGCGACGAGGAGCACTGGCCTACCTCCGAAATGGGATAGTCCAGCTGGGACGGTGGTTTTGGTGAACAAACCGAAAGGTGGGTTTTAACTGTAGTCATTGGTAGATTTTACATATTGTTATTCACATCCAAGAAAAAATCTATTTTGTGGAAAATATTTTTTGATCATCGTTAATTAAACCTCTTTAATCAATTGACATATTTGTAAAGAAGGGAGCTAATTTTTCATTACATTAAAATCTCGGTGCGTTGATTTAGCAAAATACATTGACTGGCAATTGTAAAGAAAGAAAAGTTCTATAACACGTAGGAGAGAGGAGGAAACAGGAACATGTTATAAGTCTATAAAGGGAGCTTGTACCTTTCAGTTCACAATGCTTTTGAACTCGAATTGAGGATCAAAAGATCCATCCATCAAAATTTATGAATGTTGATCATGGTCTCTGTTATCGACATTATAGGGCAATCTAAAAAATGATCTCTGTTATCGACATTATAGGGCAATCTAAAAGAAGAGTTTTGATACTTCTTTTATTTTATTGAAGTATACACCCAAAAAATAACAGTACAATGTNCGACATTATAGGGCAATCTAAAAAATGATCTCTGTTATCGACATTATAGGGCAATCTAAAAGAAGAATTTTGATACTTCTTTTATTTTATTGAAGTATACACCCAAAAAATAACAGTACAATGTTTTGTACAGGATGGACTTCATTCACTGTTTGTGGAAAACTTCGTCGCGTTGTCCAAGTGAAAAAGGTGCTCTGAACCTAAATTGTAGGCATTACCTTTCCATTAGTTTATCCTCCCACCAATTTATCTGTTACAGGTGGGACATGCTGGAACCCTCGATCCTATGGCAACTGGCTTACTGATTGTATGTATTGGTAAAGCTACTAAGCTTGTTGAAAGGTGAGACTTGATAGATGTTTTATAAAATCAATGGCTCCAGGGAAGTTCTTGAGTTGTTGGGCTCTTTACTGAATCTTCTTTTCTTCCTCTTATAGAGGATAAGATCACAGTAGTATTTATTAGTTATGGCTACAACTTTTCCTTGGCTAATCAATACAGGTGGATTCTGTATAAAACAATTTTAATCTTTCATTGTAGATATCAAGGTATGACCAAGGCTTATAGTGGAGTCTTCCGCCTAGGGGAAGCAACCTCAACTTGGGATGCTGATTCACCGGTGTGTTTGGTTCTTTGAGATAAGATATTTCATTTTAAGTTCAGTTGGCTGTAAAATTCATGAGATTTATTTTGCCACAATTCTCTGCCATTGAGTAGAATACGTGCAACTTATTTTGTATAAGTGTGTCTGCCCTGTGTTTTCAATTAAAAGGTATATATTTCATGTCTCTCCTAATTTCTTTTCTACACCTGTTGCAGTGAACTTCATATAATCAAGGGGCTTCTCCTATTTAAAACTGACTACATATAACAAATACAAATGTTGTGCCTGTCAAAGTAAAAACAGGGCACGATTGTTAAAAATTTCACCAATTTTGTTTGAGAGTAGAGGTAATAGTAGTTTTCAGGTTAACAATGAAAATGATGACCAACGAATCCATGGAGCTACAAATTTAGCATATATCTTCAGTCACTGTTATTTGGGCAGCTAGACAGCTGAGCTATTAACGAATGGATTGGGAAAACTTTAAACTGTTTGATATCATAGGTATCTGCCATCAAGGTTTTAAGTTGTCATTCATACATTCAAATACAATGCAGTTATTGTGTGAGATGGTCACCAAACTGGGTAGAAGACTAATACTAGTACAGGATATAGAAGACAATGAGTTTTAAAAAACTTTTTGTGCTTAAAGTCTGACATGCAAGTAAATTTCATGAGAGGAGTGCTATTGGTACACATAGTAGGGGACAATAACACCAAGTGCTGACATTCATATATGGAGGAGGCCACAATAACCAACAATCACCCACCTTTACCTTCCTCCATGTACAAGCTTGATTCCACTTGCTTCATCTGTATTTACATCTTTTCTAGATGTTAGATCCGTTGATATGTTTGGTCAATTGGAGCTTTCTGTTCCGTTGTACTTATAAAGCTGACCTTTTTCTTTAAATTGTCCAAGATTGTGTTGCTTCTAGTTAAATGTTATTTTCTTCTTCAGGTTATCCAACGTGAGCCATGGGAGCACATCAAAGATGTGGACATAAAGAAAAGTGCTGCATCCTTTTGTGGGGAGATATGGCAAGTCCCTCCTATGTTTTCTGCCATCAAAGTAAGAATTTCTCCTATGTTATCCCATAAAGTTATGCAGGAAAATCACCGAGTGATGTTCATGCAGATATATTCTTCCATATGCAGAGAATGGTAATGCATATCAGTTCAAAGGATGTTCTTCTATTCGTATGGAGTTAAAAAAAGGCCTGGTTATTGACTATGGATAATCCTATTTTGATATCTAATCCTCTGATTTGATTTGATTGTTAATCTTGTATCATGGACTAAGTTCTCCAGCACATCGTATTCATTTGGCACCCAAACTTTGGTGAATTCGTTATTCTTTTGATGGGTGAGGCAAACAAGCATGCATGCCAGCCCTGATATTTTTCTGGTTTGTCCTGGTATGAAGACATACTAGATGAGCACTTCACATTGTAGCATACAGTGCTGACAACATCGCCAAATGGGTGTGGGTATGGGATAACTTCAGAATCACAATTAGAATTGAGAAAGATCATATAGTCTATAAGAACTTTTGATAGAGGAACACAGTTGGAACACTTTCTTTAATTTACTAGAATTGCTAGGATGCATTTTGATGTCTGATGTCTTAAACAGTCTCCCTGTCAGATATACATTGTACAATACAGACTGAATTACCCGGACGTTTAGAGCATTTCTGCAGTTCAACTGTCCTTGTGTCCTAAAATCTGAGAAGAAAAGGAATCAAATACATCTACTTCAGTCCTTGTCACGTGGATCCCAAGTCATAATGATATGGTTTAGATCAGAGCGTTTAATCATATGGCTCTTAAGAATAACTGTATGTAAATACCAGGCCAATTCATCTCATACATATATTTAAGTTTATTTTTTCCCTTAAAATTTTTTAGCACTGTTTGTGATGAAGTGTGGGATTGAACTGCATTAATATTACAGCTTCCGTCTTTTTCTTTTCTTATCCTTTTTTTTTTTCAAATAAGCATTTGTATTAATTCTTTCACTTACAAGTGTCAACATCTTGTGATAGGTTGGAGGTGAAAGAATGTATGAGAAGGCAAGAAGAGGAGAAAGCATTGAACTTTCACCAAGGCGGATTTCAATCTTCCAGTTTGATGTTGAGCGAAGTTTAGAAGACAGGTTTTTACAATGTAGCTAGATATTTATATCGTTTACCTTAAAGTCACTTTTATTGAATATTTATCTAAGTATGCGCGGCATGCCCTCAACAATTGGACCATGCATATGTGTTTTCTACTGCTGATTGACTGCAAAATTCTTAAGAAGCTCCAACCAAAACATGTTTAAGGGGCTCCAAGTCATGCTGCCCCTAGTGTTTCAAATAGTTTTGTTCTGCTGGAAACCCTTCCTGTACATACTATGGAAGCATGACACTTGCAAAGATTAGTATTCCTCTAGTATCTTTGATGACTATCTGAAGACCGGATTTGTTGCTACCAAACATTGTCAAGCATGGACCTTATAGAAAGGCTGCACCAAGTGGTCTTCATGTTACATTCTGATGTCCATTGAAAGGAAAGTGACCTTATATGTCTGATATCAAACTTAGTTGCTGGAGGTTCCAATATTGCTATTGAGATGTTGAATTCTTTCTGACAAACCACATTTGCTGTTCTTAAGCTTCATCTTACATGCTTGCAGACAAAATGTGATTTTTCGAGTGACATGCTCGAAAGGGACATACATACGATCTCTTTGTGCAGATTTTGGGAAGGCATTGGGCAGGTACTGTAAATAAATTCATTTTTCATTCGTACTTGCACCTTTGGAAGGGATACAATTCACTGTTGAAGGGAAGGGGAATAATAACATTAGATCTCCATACTTAGACTTGTCTTTTTATTCTTATATGCAGTTGTGCTCATTTATCAGCTTTGCGAAGAGATTCTATTGGTAAGCTCATTTTGCTCAAAACTACTGATTTTGATCAAATTTATTGTTCACCCTTTCTATGTGTCCAAAAGGACGGAAGGGTTTTGGGGGACCACAGGGGCAGTAATCTTTTCTGTTCCCTCCCTTTTTTCCTTTCTAACCATTATTGGAGCACTCGGCAGTTACAGATAATGAGTGAAACAACAAAAAACTGAAAAAAAGGATGAATGAAGAACAACATTACATTGCTAATATACCTTCCTAAAAGTTGAAAAGTTATTTTTAAAGAATCCTATTATTTCAATGTGCTTTGCAAATCTACTATAAAGTAGTGTAACATTATTATCATCTATACAAGATGCTCTCCCCTTTCTCTTGTCTGTTTTTTGTTTCCAGGCATGAAGTTGATGGTGCTATTTTCTGTTTTACAGGGCAATATTCAGCTGATGATGCCTGGGAATTCAAAGAGTTGGAAGAAGCAATCACCAGAGAATATTTATAGCTTTTGTTTTCTGCCTCTGACATCCTATAAGTGGTGAACACTGCATTGGTCGTAAGACGGTAAACCTTTATTGGATCGTTCAAATCTTAGAAACCACCTAATTATTCATTTTTTTTCTCCCTCTTTTCATTCTTCATTTCTGGCCATTTTTAAAGGCGTTTTTTAATGTAAATTATGTTTTATAATCTCAAGCTGATTCATATGGCTTGTTCAAAGCTTTTGTAGAATTTTGCAAATTATTCTAAGGTGACAACTTGTCCACAAAGCTTCCAGTCTTGCATTATCTGGTTACTCAAGTTATGTGCACTTAAATTAGCAGACACTTGAAGCATGAACTCCCAAAACCATTCACCTAGTATTTTTAACCTTGAAAATGACCACATATAACAAGTTCTCTCTGACATTGTTCTGGATTTTTGGTTTTAAGTTCTTTTTCCATCCTCCCCAATCTTTTTTAAATGGATCTCCAATTTCTTAAGAAATCCCAACTGTAGATGAATTTGATTTTGATCACTCTAATTAAGATTTCATTGAACCACACTAATGCACAGAATGCAATATTCAAACAATGTCAATGCTAGCAAATCTTTAGCTTACATTTCTTGCAACAAGATTATATTATCACCTGTCCACGGATGATTTATGGACTGAGCATCAACAGGAGCAGAGTCCGGCGATATTGCCCATCTACTAATAATTTTTCTGAAGAAACAATGTCGTTTCCCGTAATCTTTATAAAAGGGCTTACAACCGTAGTAAAGAAGGAATGACCATGGAGAGGACCAACCAAAAAAAATCGCTTGAACCATACTACATATGATAAGAGCGGAGATTCCTAGATTTCCATCTCTTCCTGTTGAAACAAGCAAGCGGAACATAAAAGGGGGAAAATGAAGAAAAATAACAAATGACATAAATTGATAAATAGNCCTTTATAAAAGGGCTTACAACCGTAGTAAAGAAGGAATGACCATGGAGAGGACCAACAAAAAAAAAATTGCTTGAACCATACTACATATGATAAGAGCGGAGATTCCTAGATTTCCATCTCTTCTTCCTGGTGAAACAAGCAAGTGGAACATAAAAGGGGGAAAATGAAGAAAAATAACAAATGACATAAATTGATAAATAGTGCGAACAAAGGAGTGGATTCTTTTTCTTTGTTTCTGAAGATACACTGGTAGTTTAACACTGAAACAACAGTGGTAGTTCTCAAACTTCTAATATCGTCGCTCTCTGTACTTCTAATGGGTAGTAGAATTAGGTGGATCAATTCCCATTACATTAAAATAGGTCTTCTCTTCAGCAGCCATACAATCCTGAAATATTATCCATTCCTTGCTACACCTCTCCCTCAACTGAGGCAAAAGCACTTCACAGAAGGTGTTCAAGAAGCTACAATCCAGTCACCATAGTTGATTATCTTATCATCATCAATCTCTGATTTCCCTAGGTTGTCATTTCATCTTCATGTATCTCTGTATGATATATTTATATTGCTTAATGGTATTCAGCCTGCAGCGTATTCAGCATAATCATGACATGATCAATTTGGACTGCTATATCTTTGGCCAATTAAAAATGGTTTCAATGAGCTGGCCTATAATTGGAGATATTATTTAACATTCTGTACTTGATGAATGTTTTCAAACAAAAACAATTTAAAAAATGGCCACTAGATTTTGAGAAGAAGGTTGACTAAGATGGGCCTAAGTGCCCCATTAATGGTTCTAGAAAACAAAGTAGGTGGCCACTCAAAACATGTTTAGTGGTGTCATCCAGAGGATTAAGGTCAGTGTGGTTGCTCTTTGTTGGGGACAAGTATGGCATATGGTTATATGGGTCCCCTTGTGATTTTGTGAAGTTGGTTGAGAGATTGACCAATGACCCGAGTGATGGCATATCAAGGGTGGGCAAGCAAGGGCATATCATGGATTGTCAAAGTGGAGACATATTCTGATGGTTGTTTCATGATAAGTTGGTCCCCAGTAAATTAACAGAAACATTTGAACTTAATCCATTTTAGCGACCTAAAAACAGTTACTGGCCTTCCGAAAAATTAACATGGTAGAAATAGATCAGGGTAGGAATCTTGGGTGGTCATAACTTTGAAACTTTTTCGGCAACAGGTGGTACCAATCGATGTGGGATGAATATTTATTATGTATTTGTGGATGTCAAAAGTTTCTGAATTATATCATGAAAACTAGTTTCCTTATTATGCTGTAANGGCAACAGGTGGTACCAATCGATGTGGGATGAATATTTATTATGTATTTGCGGATGTCAAAAGTTTCTGAATTATATCATGAAAACTAGTTTCCTTATTATGCTGTAATGTGCTCCCTTTTCCTAGCATGAGTACTGTAGCAGCATTATTTGGCCTTAATTCACGGTTTCTTGGCTCCCTAATGTGAGAGTTGTTATCAAAGTAACTTAAGAATGATTTCAGCCTTGTTTTGAACCTGTTTGGCAATATGATGGTACTGATCAAAAGGCAGGACTGAGGTTTAATATCTGTTTGAAAGGCTAAACTGTTACCAGTAAGCTCAAAAGGACGACAAGGTAGCATAGCTTGGATATGTCTTTTAAAGCACTCTTGGTGGATAGGCCTTGGTACCATGGGAAAAGAAAAAAAAAAGTAAGGCAAAAAGGGAATAAAAATACAAAATCATCTGAAAATTAAGCTGGCATTTATCATATGGAGCCAATAGTCAATAACTTTCTTGAGAAGGGAACCATCATCTTAATGCTCATCCCTCCTGTACCCTGTGCCTTGTGTAAATAGCTTAATTTCAATAATGTATTAACTCCGATGGCTCACAGGATCGTATTACATGCTTGTGTGATTGGAATTGGTGGGTCTGACAATGAACCATTTATTATATGGTTGGCAATCCAAAGATTTGCAGCTTCGGTATAATGCACACCATCCCAGCTGATGACTGCTGAAGGATTTGTGCAAGAACCAGCATATACTTCAGTGCCATTAATAGTTGCATTATTCCCACACCAAACATCGATGCTGTTTTTGTGATACCCGCAACAGATCTTGAAAGGATCTTCAAATCCTGTAAAATTGAGGCAAAGCAGACAGTCATGAGTTTGTTCAGAAAGATGTTCAGAGTTTTCTAGGAAACATATGGGACATATCACAACTGGTCAGTTCGAGTTCTGGCAAGAAGGTTGGTCGACTTTACCTACCACGATGTTTTTTTTTCTGGAAAGCAATCATGTAACAGCCAAGCCTGTCATGAGTTGCTACTCACCCACTGTTTCTTAGCAACAAAAGCTGTACTACCTGAGCCCAGAATGTTGCCTTATATGGCTCAATTCAAGTGAACTCGTGAAAGCCTTAATCCCAACTACATGGGGTCGGCTACATGAATTATGTTTCTCCATTGTGCTCCATTAAGGGCCTTATATACTGGCTACTATTTATTTTGCTACTTTGTATTTTTTTTTTGGCTACAGTAGAATCTGTGCACTAGTATTACACCCACATGGTGACCTAAAACAATCCTGCCTAGAATCTTGGTGTGAATTTATAGAGATTTGTAATTTCAAGGAAATCTATTATGAGTCTGATTTGATGCTGGTCACCTTGATTCTTTGCATTGCTGATTAATCCATACTTTGCACTGTAGACATCCACATAGGTTAGTGTGGCTTGGGGAAGCTTTGCCCTCAGTTGGATCACTTTATCCTTAAGTTGCTTATTAAACTCTGCAGCCATGTCGTTCTGATCCTTGATGCAGCCCTTCTCATCAAGATACCCAGGCAGGGGATCGTGAACATTCACAGTAGATACAGGCAAGCAACCAATTGGGCCAGTGTTGTGTACCCAGAATATCCTTCCCCCCTTTTCATATATACCCTGTCAAGTATTTTCAAGTTTTAGACAGGGTTTAATTTTTTCATCAGGTAGAGTGGCTCAAAAACTCTGCAACTTACTTGGACAGCTGCAGCAAACTGGTTAACTATATTTGGTATGGTGGCTCGAAGCTTTTCAATGCTCAGTGTTCGAAGACCTGCAGCAATATCATTTTGTCCAATATCAAATGTGTAAAGAGCCTTGGAGAAATCCTCAGGTCTTGGGAGCCTGATTCTATCAGATGGTTCCTTGGCTGAAAATCACAAAAAACAATATTTGTGTCAAGTGGGACAGAAAACACTTATAATTCTTTGGTTTTGAGTTGGACTGACCTTGATTGTAGAAATAGGTTGTTCTTTCCTGGAATTGATTATGGTGCTCNTTTCCTTGGCTGAAAATCACAAAAAACAATATTTGTGTCAAGTGGGACAGAAAACACTTATAATTCTTTGGTTTTGAGTCGGACTGACCTTGATTGTAGAAATAGGTTGTTCTTTCCTGGAATTGATTATGGTGCTCGACTTGGATATCGAGTGGGAATGGGCTCACACCATGCTCGAACCAGGACTCATTCTGTTGCCTAATGGTTGCTCCTCCTGTTGCAAAATTTGCACCATGCTGGAAATTGGTCCCAATAGAATCCAGGTATGCGCTTAAATGTGGTAGCCCCAGGTGATCAGCTTCATATTAACAAGCATTGCTTAGTATTAGCACATTAGAAACAACTTGCAAAGAAGAAGAGGTTTTTTATTTTTCATGTTTGTGAAAGGGGTTCAAGAAGTTTATTTTCTTACCAATGAAGTCTATGATTAGTCGCCCATCACTTCCCCTTCCAGCCGGCCTACCGAAGAATGTCTCCCCACAGGGTGCCGCCATTGGAAAAAATGCTGCTGCTATTCCACCAGTGTCGGAGTTCGAGTCGCCAAAGTTGTAGATTGCCGGGATATCACAGGGTGGTAGAGCCATCACCTCTTCACCTTCCACTATGAGAACTGATACAACCAAAAACGGGACGATCAAAACTCCAGTGAACTCCATTTGTCCCTGCAGAATAGCTATAACTCCTCTGTCACTTGACACATTTACATATAGAGGACCTTAGATGCTAAGATATAGATTCTACCTATATATAAATGGGTGGAAAGCAAAGAAATCTGAGATTAATGTGTTGTGTCGACCCATCAGCACGGAAAAAAAAAAAAGGGAGGTGTCAATCCACTACTTGATTTTCTTCCTTTGTTGGTCACAGAGCTGCACCTTTCTTTGTATGTGTTTTTGGATTTCTCCTAGTGCAGTTGCTGCAACATCATAATTAGGCCGGTCAATTGTGTAGTAAAAAATTATTTCATTCATATTCAATTTATTTATTAATTTGTATCCTGATGAATTGTGTCATATTACGTTTGTGTCGTATATGAATTACATATATAACCGGTATATAAACTATTTGTATCGTATTATTTTTTTGATTGACTTATCGTGTCGTATTGGACTCACTCGTTTACAAAATGGGTGATTTAAGAAAGATTTAAACTCTCTGATTTTATATCGTGTTAACGAGTTATGTCATGTTTTAACGCCTCTAAACATGACATTTACCTATTGAAAGATTCTCGAATTAAAATATTAGATTGCATCCTGGTACTAGCACCGTTCATCGTCTCCTAATGATGCATTCACGTTCACATTGCTTATCAGACCCTGCTTTGCCTTAGTTTATTGTTTTTTAAACTTTCTTTGTTAAACAATTTCCAGTTTGAATAATATGACTGCAGGACCCATCAGTAAGCGAGCCAAGAACACTTTGGCCTAGCTTTTCTTATTTTATTATTGCTTTTCAGAATACAAACCCCTATCCCGTGGCCCTGGCATGCAAGGGGCAGTGGCAAAAGTTATTGCAGCATACATCAGCTACAAATTCAAAGAATGGATCAGCTGCATCAGCTAAAGATGGAGAGCGATAATATTATTAAGTGCATACAAAGGTGTACTCAGACTACTAGATTCTCGTCATTGTGGAATTTGGAGATGGTTAAACGTATACAGTCTTAACTATTTCTGCGATTCAAATTCGTGATCTCTAAATCACAATAGAATAACCTTATCGTTGCAATATTTGTATATAAAAAACACAAATGTAATTGATTCATTGCTTCTTCAATAAACAAATTTGTAGAAATTCTTTCCATGGCTTAAGCTCTCTGTTTTCCCTCATCTTCTTCTNGCGATAATATTATTAAGTGCATACAAAGGTGTACTTAGACTACTAGATTCTCGTCATTGTGGAATTTGGAGATGGTTAAACGTATACAGTCTTAACTATTTCTGCGATTCGAATTCGCGATCTCTAAATCACAATAGAATAACCTTATCGTTGCAATATCTGTATATAAAAAACACAAATGTAATTGATTCATTGCTTCTTCAATAAACAAATTTGTAGAAATTCTTTCCATGGCTTAAGCTCTCTGTTTTCCCTCATCTTCTTCTTCCTTCAGTTCTTGATTTCTCACAAGTTGCAAAAGTTCCTGGCAATTATGCTTAATTGCAATCAAAGGAGTGAGATCTTCTCAAGTACACTTCCTCTTCAATTTTTTTATTGTCACTTCATCTATGATGCACTCAAGTGAAATTTATTGTATACAAGTGGGTCTCTCACTTATTAATGGTGGATGATGTGCCAAGAAAAAAATTAAAAAAAAAATGTATTGAAGAAGATTTGAATCCGCAATCGAGAAGTTGCAATATAGGTCTATCGATTCTTTGATATTTCCAAGAGTATGCAAAATTTGGAGAAAAGAAAAGATAAGTTGAGGCTCAAAAAGGCCATTATATAGTCCTTGAATCAATGCGTGTTGACTTTGCGAAATGTTTATTTTAAAATTTCACCATTTATTACGACGGAAAAGAACACCAGTGACGAACACGATTATTGCTAGAGTTACATGCGTAAACGCTTATGACAAGCGTGGGTGATCGGAATCGGAGGGTCGGACAATGAGCCGTTGAGTATGTGATTAGCAACCCACTGATTTGCAGCCTGAGTGTAGTGAACACCGTCCCAGCTCACATACGTTGAAGGATATGCACAAGTATCACCATAAACGTCTGAACCATTTACAATAGCTCTCTGTCCACACCAGACATTGATGTTGTTATCGTGACGCCCGCAGCAGATCTTCAGTGGATCGGTAAATCCTGTTGGCCCCAGAGCAGACAACGAGTTGAAAAACTAGTCAAAATCGAATCAAGCCAGAGCCTGGTTGATTTAACGGTTCTACTACAAACATGATTCAGCAAGAATTACCTTGATTTTTGGTGTTGCTGATCAATGTATACTTGGCAGCATAGACATCCACATATGTTAGAGCAGCTTGAGGAAGCTCTGCCCTCAGTTTGATCACTCTAGCCTTAAGTTGCCTGTTGAACTCTATAGCCTTGTCATTCTGACCCTTGATGCAGCCATACTGATCAAGAAAACCCGGATTTGGATTGCGAATATACAGAGTGGCTACTGGCAAGCAACCAATTGGACCTGTGTTATGTATCCAGAATGCCCTTGCCCCTCGTTGATATAAATGCTATCATATACACAGTCAAATTTCAGCAATGACACAAGACTTATAAATTTGATGAACAAAAGACGAGTCTGAGCGCTCGTGACGGGAAATGCCAGTTGTATGCACTCTTACGGAGAAATTATACTTCCGTAACTTAATTATATTTTAATTGGAAAAAAGCACAACTTACAGTAACTGCTGATGCTAATTGATTGACTATATCAGGCATGGCTGCTTGAAGTTGGGCATCAGACAGTTTCCGAAAACCAGCAGCAAGATCATTTTGGCCTATGTCAAATGTGTAAAGAGCCCTGGAAAAGTACTGAGGAGGCCTAGGGAGTTTGCTTCTATCAGCCGGGTCCTTAGCTGAAAGAAACGCAGATAATTAAGTGAAAGAAAAGAATCAAAAGCGAATATCAATTGCATATCGTTTTGGTGCGAATTATTCTATATACCACATCGGTTAGACTAGAAAACTTCACTAATACAATTATCAATTCCGATCGATAGTTGAGTTACGGAATGACCTTGTTTGTAGAGCTCACTGGTTCTTGCTTTGAACTGATCATAGTGGACAGTCTGGATATCCAGAGAAAATGGGCTTATACCATTTTCGAATATGGTTTCGTTCTGTCTCCGAATGGTTGATCCTCCTGTGGCAAAATTTGCACCATGATGATAATTTGTGCCAATCGAATCCAGGTATGCGCTCAAGTATGGTAGACCCAAGTGCTCGGCTGCACACCATAAACAAATGCGAGAATAGATTAGATCGAGCTATGAAAGCCAGTCTTTTTCGCTTAAAAAAGCTCTTTAAGCAATCCACAAATAAGAAATCCAGACTTGGGGTTCAGCCTCTTGCAGCCCCCCTTTGAACATCTACTATAATCAATTGTCTAATTGATTCTTCTGTACAATGGAAAAATTGGAAAACAATTTGTATATTTCATTGATTCGATAAGATTAACTTGGTTTCCATACGATGAACAAAACAATTATGATCAGATAAATTCAGAATGCAGAACCCAGTTTCATTTAGACATGCTATCGAAGATGTCTACTTTGAAAGTACAATTTTTGCATTGGTTTAAAATAGCCACGGGCTCGAAACTTAAGAGTAGAGCCTTCAAGAACTACATATTGAACTGTCAAAAAAATCCGCACAGAATTTATTTACAAGAAGAAATTAACAAGCTGGAGAGAATAATGTTATTGGTAAATTGAATGAACAAGACAATGAATGAAAAGCCTATTCATAGACAAAGTTACACACTTCCTAAAAGTCATGAGAGGAGTCATCACGACCATTAGGCTCGTCAATTATGTTGGAAGAGACGAGTTTATGTCAGATTTTGTTAGATTCGTATCAAAAAACACTACACTCATTTTTGGTTCAGTTATTAATTCATGTTTACTGACGAGTCGTATTATATTGGATTCATATCGTGTATGAATCGTATATAATTAGTATATAAATGAGTTGTATTGTATATTTTTTTTAATTGACTTTACTCGTACTCAATTCATTTATTAATTCTTCATGTCGGATTCACTTGTTTATGAAATAAATGGCTTATGAAAAACTCAAACCCTTTAATTTTATAACGTCTTCGTATTGTATTAACGAATAGTATCACATTTTAATACCGCATTGATAGATGGAAGCTATGACCGACTATCCTCGAAAAGTTGTGACAGTTGATTTATTATTATTTAAAATTTTGAAGCACCCCAATAATGATAGAAAAGCAACAGAAACAGAGATAAGAAAGGACTGAACAAGTATGTAGCTATTTGTTACCGATGAAGTCTATGATGAGACGGCCATCGGAGTCTCTTCCGGCAGGTTTTCGGAAGAAATTGACGCCATATGGTGCTTGAATTGGTAGAAATGCTGCTGATATACCCCCGGTATCGGAATTGGAGTCGCCAAAGTTGTAGATTGCCGGAAAATCACATGGTGGCAAACCCATTACCTGTTCAGCTGATCCATCTCGCAAGGCCAATGAAATGAAAACACCCACAACTAGAACTCTCACAAAATCCATAGCTCTTTGCAGCAAAAACTGTGACTACACTGTAAAAAACACACTGCACACTTTTCAGTTATATATATATACAATGACCCAAAAAGTAAAGATACTTCTGGAGAAAGGCTTAAAAATCAATCATATTCATGCTAGTCATGTGCTCTCAATTCCCCCATTTTACTCCTCTTTGTTTTTTTTTTACTTTTCAAGTTTGTGTTAATTATTCGTTCAAGTTCAATGGGAACCACCATAGTATGAGTTGAAATGGAGCATGTTGACGAGGAAANGACTGACTAGACCGTCGGAGGGGATACGCCGGAAAACACTCCGGCGCCCTTCTAACTTGTTCTCCTTTGTTCCAGGAAATACCTTTCACACATACAGGATCGTTCCTCCTTTCCCAGGATCTCCCTTTGCCGTTTCCGGTTGCCACCGTACCTTGTAGGCTGTTTCAAGCAGCGTGTTTGGTTACTCAACCGGCTCACCCAAAGTTCACCAGGGGAGAGATCTGTTCCCAATATTTTATATATCGTGCAGGATCGAGCCCGTACATTACACACTTCCTAAAAGTCATGAGAGGAGTCATCACGACCATTAGGCTCGTCAATTATGTTGGAAGAGACGAGTTTGTGTCAGATTTTGTTAGATTCGTATCAAAAAACACTACAATCATTTTTGGTTCAGTTATTAATTCATGTTTACTGACGAGTCGTGTTATATTGGATTCGTATCGTGTATGAATCGTATATAATCAGTATATAAATGAGTTGTATTGTATATTTTTTTTGATTGACTTTACTCGTACTCAATTCATTTATTAATTCTTCATGTCAAATTCACTTGTTTATGAAATAAATGGTTTAAGAAAAACTCAAACCCTTTAATTTTATAACGTCTTCGTATTGTATTAACGAATAGCATCACATTTTAATACCGCATTGATAGATGGAAGCTATGACCGACTATCCTCGAAAAGTTGGGACAGTTGATTTATTATTATTTAAAATTTTGAAGCACCCCAATAATGATAGAAAAGCAACAGAAACAGAGATAAGAAAGGACTGAACAAGTATGTAGCTATTTGTTACCGATGAAGTCTATGATGAGACGGCCATCGGAGTCTCTTCCGGCAGGTTTTCGGAAGAAATTGACGCCATATGGTGCTTGAATTGGTAGAAATGCTGCTGATATACCCCCGGTATCGGAATTGGAGTCGCCAAAGTTGTAGATTGCCGGAAAATCACATGGTGGCAAACCCATTACCTGTTCAGCTGATCCATCTCGCAAGGCCAATGAAATGAAAACACCCACAACTAGAACTCTCACAAAATCCATAGCTCTTTGCAGCAAAAACTGTGACTACACTGTAAAAAACACACTGCACACTTTTCAGTTATATATATATACAATGACCCAAAAAGTAAAGATACTTCTGGAGAAAGGCTTAAAAATCAATCATATTCATGCTAGTCATGTGCTCTCAATTCCCCCATTTTACTCCTCTTTGTTTTTTTTTTACTTTTCAAGTTTGTGTTAATTATTCGTTCAAGTTCAATGGGAACCACCATAGTATGAGTTGAAATGGAGCATGTTGACGAGGAAAAGCGACTAGGGGAAAGAAATGAAATTAAAACCTCTACATTAAAATTACTAAAACTCATTCTTAACCTCCGAAGGCCAGTTTGGTATGTGGGTTTAGGAGGGTTTGAATTGAGGAATAAATCTCCCTCAAACTTATGTTTGACAAATACATAGCCTAGTGTAAGGGGGTTTAGGAGGGTTTGAATTGAGGAATAAATCTCCCTCAAACTTATGTTTGACAAATACATAGCCTAGTGTAAGGGGTAGAACCCTCCACTCAGGATTTCGGCTTGACCTGGGTTAACCCACGCGGCCTTTACCTCTCTTCGCCAATAGGACCCTTTCCTAAGGCAATCCCACATCGGAAGAGAGTCGTCTTCCCCCTCGCATATAAGCTCTTGCACTCAAAGGAGGAGGTACCCACTAGGCACCTGATCAGGTCGCTAGTGGGTACCTCCTCCTTTGAGTGCAAGGGCTTATATGCAAGGGGGAAGACTACTCTCTTCCGATGTGGGATTGCCTTAGGAAAGGGTTCTATTGGCGAAGAGAGGTAAAGGCTACTGGGGGGTCGCCCGCTTGGGTTAACCCAGGTCAAGCCGAAATCCTGAGTGGAGGGTTCTACCCCTTACACTAGGCTATGTATTTGTCAAACATAAGTTTGAGGGAGATTTATTCNTTGGGTTAATCCAGGTCAAGCCGAAATTCTGAGTGGAGGGTTCTACCACTTACAAATTCTATAATAAATTATTCATAAAAATGGTAAATTTTTTAATTATAATAATATTTATTAAAATAATAAATTATAGAATTTGTCGGCACAATAGGCAAGTCCAAAAGGCGTGCTAAGTGTCACTATAAGCTCATTAAAGTTGTGGGGACTAGTCACGTGATTGAAAGGGGAGGTGAAGCGGTGCTGTCAGTTGATAAGAGGACAATATTACATGCGGAGAAGCGTTGATCGGTAGATTGATATTTGTTGACCGCAATTAGTGGAGGAAAAAAAAACAAGATGAAACAGATTACATCAAAAGATTTTTTTTTCTTTTTTCTTTTTTTGTTATTATCTTTATATGGATCAATACATTTGAAAAATTAACAATCTAAAAATAATTCAGTGATAACAGAAACTGATTAGGGCAAAATTTTAGACACGGGCCTCCAAAATTCCGGAGCTCAATAAACCCAAAAGGCCATCGCTTGTTTATTAACTTAAAGGGAGAACCCCAGTTAGCCCTTGTCTTGGGGGGTGTTAGAGAGCCGAAAGCCCAACGACACTAAAAGATCAACAGCGCAGTACAGACCAAACTCAACGACTAGTCAAAGGATAATTTAGTATTGAGAAACCAAACCCTCGCCCTTGGAGCTCCCCGCCATGCCACGTGTCCAAAGGACAAGGAGATCATCTTTGACACCTGTGACAGTTGCACCCTCTAAGACACAGAGAGTAGTGGTGCGTAAAACGATCTAGAGATCGTGGGCATAACAGCGTCGAACAACAGAGACTGTTGCGAGACAGTGACGAGGGACTCCATAGAATCAACAGAAATGTAGAAAGAGCCACCGAAAACCCTGAAAGGAAGGATATATATAAATAGAATAGTGTCAACCTATCATAAGAGATATATTATTTATTCTTTCCCGCTGTATTTCTCAGCCCTAGATACATAAACAAACTGAGAATATGCCCTTGTAAAGGCTGAGTGCCAACGATCTCAATATTCTCACCTGATCTCAGTATACGACCTTAAGGAGCAAAAAATTTTATTACAATGGATGTATCACTGGTCTTTCAGTTAAGGTGAACCACTTACACTTTGAGTATTCCATTATTCGCAAGTAAACCTCATATCCGATCAAATTCACTAATCTAAATAACAACCCATTGATTGGGCTTGAATTATTATTTCCGAGATCCCATCAAAAATAAAATATAAATTTAGATATTTTAAATTTAAATTTTGATAATTCTTTAGGATCAAACAATAAGGAATTATTCTTCACAAATATTCTAATCCCGACGTAAATGATTTACTTTTAACCGAATCGAAAAAAAGATTAATTAATAATGCACATAAACTGACTCAAACATTCTAATAGTTGAAAAAAAAAATTAACCTAAAAGATTGAATGAATTTTTGTTTTGATTATTGTACAAAAACAGGAGCCCCAACCAATAAAAATTATTTGTTGTAAATTCAAATCAATCTCATTTTCTGTGTAAGTGAGTCATATAGTCAAATACCAGTTGGGCAACTCCAACAACTTTTTTTTGGCATTCCCCTCCACTTTGAATAGAAATTATGTGTACTTCGTGTTTGAAGGTTCGACGTAATATAAATAATTTTAAAAGGGATGTTAATAGTCATTGAATGAGATTATTTAAAATCGTCGAATGAAATTATTGAAACCTATTTTCTTTTATATTATAGATATCAAATACTAACTGTATTGATCAAATTTTGGCCAAATATCTTATCCCACGTTAAATCCTAGCATATCTCAATTTTTTACTTATGCATTATATAAATTTGATACAAAATATTTGACATATCAGTAAGAGTGTAAAGTAAAAATATCAAATATTATATGTCACATTTGACATTTGCCATCTTTGTTGAAGATGCTCTGAGCGGTAGGGACTGACCGCTTCAAATGCGTGGAGACGGGGCCACAGCAGGGACTTGTGCGCTCCGAGCAAGCATTGTCGATTGGGCCTCATCGATGCCGCAGTGGCCCGAAACAAGCCCCCACTCCATATGTTCCACCAAGACCCTCACTCCGAGTCCCGGTAACCCCACCTCTTCTTCTCCTTAATTAGGGCTTAGGGTTTTGTATGCACATTTTACAGTTTTTAATGAGTTGATTATGCCACCATTACAGAGCGATTCCTGTTGTTATTTGACTCCTTTGATTGAATTGACGTAATTTTAATTCGGGCTTGTTGTAGTTGGAAGTTAATCTGTAAGCTAACAGGAGTTATAATCAATAAATCGGAGGATCATATATGGAAGCCCATCAATGGAAAGAAATTCTTGAACATGTTGGGTTTGTATTTATGCTCTCTTCTTCCAAGTTTAGTTTATGAATTACAGCCAAAAAAAATGACAAAATCTACAAATTCACCAACCTATCCAACTACTAAATTCCAATCAAACGAAAGTCAACTTGATCAGTCTTTACTTTTGAATTCCACGAGAACATAAGCCAACCTAGNAAGCGACTAGGGGAAAGAAATGAAATTAAAACCTCTACATTAAAATTACTTAAACTCATTCTTAACCTCCGAAGGCCAGTTTGGTATGTGGGTTTAGGAGGGTTTGAATTGAGGAATAAACCCCCTCAAACTTATGTTTGACAAATACATATCCTAGGGTTTGAAACCCACCCCCGTTTACGTCCGGTCATAAAACTCATAGGTGTTTTACATGTGGATTAATTAGTTTAACGTTCAAATGATATTCAAAATTTTCATATATCTCATATACCTCATATTAGTTAAAGGGCACAATAGTTATTTAAATACAAATATATTATCATAATAATTATATATCTTTGTGCATGCCAAACATAAGTATGAACAACATTAAATATTAAATTTTATCTTTAAATTTGAAAAGATTTGATTAAAAATATACTGAACAGGCACGAAGGGTATCATTTTTCTTGCAGTGTAAGGGGCTGTAGCATTTTTCTTGCGGAGGGTATTTTGTTCTTTTCCGTTGCAATTTGCTGTCATCATCCATAACAGCCAGCTTTTTCATTTTGTTCTTTTCTACTGCAGCTTGCTGAATGATTTATAATTATTGATTGAAAATATAATAAAATAAAAGAATTTATGGGTGGCACTCTTTTTATTAAATAAAAAAAATTGATATGGTTTTTTTTTTTTGAACAAATTTATATGGTCGATTGGGAGCAAAAGTCTGATAACTCAGTGACGGGGAGAACCAATAAATATTTAACGAAGGAATGCTTTTCCTTGTTAAAAGGAAAAAGAGAGAGAGTTGTATATGATAAAATAAATTTCGGTACCATACCTTTATTTATTATATTTATGAATATTTTTATAATTATTATGGTATCAAAAAAAATAATAAAAATAATTATTATAAAAGTGATAAAAATATTCACAAAAGTGAAAAAAAATTATATCCAAGAAAAATGATAAAAATATTTATGCAGTAAAAATATCCATAAAAATAATAAATTATTCATAAAAATGGTAAAATTTTTAATTATAATAATATTTATTAAAATAATAAATTATAGAATTTGTCGGCACAATAGGCAAGTCCAAAAGGCGTGCTAAGTGTCACTATAAGCTCATTAAAGTTGTGGGGACTAGTCACGTGATTGAAAGGGGAGGTGAAGCGGTGCTGTCAGTTGATAAGAGGACAATATTACATGCGGAGAAGCGTTGATCGGTAGATTGATATTTGTTGACCGCAATTAGTGGAGGAAAAAAAAACAAGATGAAACAGATTACATCAAAAGATTTTTTTTTTTGTTTTGTTATTATCTTTATATGGATCAATACATTTGAAAAATTAACAATCTAAAAATAATTCAGTGATAATAGAAACTGATTAGGGCGAAATTTTAGACATGAGCCTCCAAAATTCCGGAACTCAATAAACCCAAAAGGCCATCGCTTGTTTATTAACTTAAAGGGAGAACCCCAGTTAGCCCTTGTCTTGGGGGGTGTTAGAGAGCCGAAAGCCCAACGACACTAAAAGATCAAAAGTACAGTACAGACCAAACTCAACGACTAGTCAAAGGATAATTTAGTATTGAGAAACCAAACCCTCGCCCTTGGAGCTCCCCGCCATGCCACGTGTCCAAAGGACAAGGAGATCATCTTTGACACCTGTGACAGTTGCACCCTCTAAGACACAGAGAGTGNCTTGTCTTGGGGGGTGTTAGAGAGCCGAAAGCCCAACGACACTAAAAGATCAAAAGTACAGTACAGACCAAACTCAACGACTAGTCAAAGGATAATTTAGTATTGAGAAACCAAACCCTCGCCCTTGGAGCTCCCCGCCATGCCACGTGTCCAAAGGACAAGGAGATCATCTTTGACACCTGTGACAGTTGCACCCTCTAAGACACAGAGAGTGTGGTGCGCAAAACGATCTAGAGATCGTGGGCATAACAGCGTCGAACAACAGAGACTGTTGCGAGACAGTGACGAGGGACTCCATAGAATCAACAGAAAGATAGAAAGAGCCACCGAGAACCCTGAAAGGAAGGACGGATATAAATAGAATAGTGTCAACCTATCAGAAGAGATATATTATTTATTCTTTCCCGCTGTATTTCTCAGCCCTAGATACATAAACAAACTGAGAATATGCCCTTGTAAAGGCTGAGTGCCAACGATCTCAATATTCTCACCTGATCTCAGTATACGACCTTAAGGAGCAAAAAATTTCATTACAATGGATGTATCACTGGTCTTTCAGTTAAGGTGAACCACTTACACTTTGAGTATTCCATTATTCGCAAGTAAACCTCATATCCGATCAAATTCACTAATCTAAATAACAACCCATTGATTGGGCTTGAATTATTATTTCCGAGATCCCATCAAAAATAAAATATAAATTTAGATATTTTAAATTTAAATTTTGATAATTCTTTAGGATCAAACAATAAGGAATTATTCTTCACGAATATTCTAATCCCGACGTAAATGATTTACTTTTAACCGAATCGAAAAAAAGATTAATTAATAATGCACATAAACTGACTCAAACATTCTAATAGTTGAAAAAAAAAATTAACCTAAAAGATTGAATGAATTTTTGTTTTGATTATTGTACAAAAACAGGAGCCCCAACCAATAAAAATTATTTGTTGTAAATTCAAATCAATCTCATTTTCTGTGTAAGTGAGTCATATAGTCAAATACCAGTTGGGCAACTCCAACAACTTTTTTTTGGCATTCCCCTCCACTTTGAATAGAAATTATGTGTACTTCGTGTTTGAAGGTTCGACGTAATATAAATAATTTTAAAAGGGATGTTAATAGTCATTGAATGAGATTATTTAAAATCGTCGAATGAAATTATTGAAACCTATTTTCTTTTATATTATAGATATCAAATACTAACTGTATTGATCAAATTTTGGCCAAATATCTTATCCCACGTTAAATCCTAGCATATCTCAATTTTTTACTTATGCATTATATAAATTTGATACAAAATATTTGACATATCAGTAAGAGTGTAAAGTAAAAATATCAAATATTATATGTCACATTTGACATTTGCCATCTTTGTTGAAGATGCTCTGAGCGGTAGGGACTGACCGCTTCAAATGCGTGGAGACGGGGCCACAGCAGGGACTTGTGCGCTCCGAGCAAGCATTGTCGATTGGGCCTCATCGATGCCGCAGTGGCCCGAAACAAGCCCCCACTCCATATGTTCCACCAAGACCCTCACTCCGAGTCCCGGTAACCCCACCTCTTCTTCTCCTTAATTAGGGCTTAGGGTTTTGTATGCACATTTTACAGTTTTTAATGAGTTGATTATGCCACCATTACAGAGCGATTCCTGTTGTTATTTGACTCCTTTGATTGAATTGACGTAATTTTAATTCGGGCTTGTTGTAGTTGGAAGTTAATCTGTAAGCTAACAGGAGTTATAATCAATAAATCGGAGGATCATATATGGAAGCCCATCAATGGAAAGAAATTCTTGAACATGTTGGGTTTGTATTTATGCTCTCTTCTTCCAAGTTTAGTTTATGAATTACAGCCAAAAAAAATGACAAAATCTACAAATTCACCAACCTATCCAACTACTAAATTCCAATCAAACGAAAGTCAACTTGATCAGTCTTTACTTTTGAATTCCACGAGAACATAAGCCAACCTAGAGAGGTGACACAGACTGAAAATTGTAATGCTGATGCAAAGGAGAAGGAGAAGAAGAAGAAGAAACTTGCAGGTGCAGTTAAACTGATGGTAGAAAGTCAAGAGTGCAGTTTAACTGATTGTAAAAGCTTAAATTAAAAAGGTGGTGGCAATTATCAAAACTACAAAGTAGTTCTGCTCAAGTCATTTTTGCTTTGAGGGTATTTGTGAGATTTTGGGATATTCTTGTTCAGTCAATTTTGAAGTGATAAATTATATTTTTGCTCAGTAAATTCAGAATGGGGAGAGAAATTAGTTTTTTTCTTTACTGTTTTGTCTACCTTATGTGAAATATTTATTCTGGTTTTGTTGGGTGGTAAGGATTTATTTATATTGTGTAGAGTCAACATAGAAACTTGCAGGTTCGAAGCTGAATCGTCGTAGGAAAAAAAAAAGAAGCAATCATCGTGATTTGTTTGGGAAGAATGGGTTCGTCAAAACCAGGTGGAAAGGGAAGGGACCAAGCTCAAAAAATTTGTTTGGAATAGAGCTCTTTTATTGCAGAATTAGACTTGCTATTAATGTCGGCTTATTTGTTAGTCGCATTGGGTCTGTCGCTAGCGGCTATTTGCAAAAAAATGAGGAAAAAACTCAGTAGAATGTTGGATAAGCGAAACATACAAGATCACAAACGGAGATTGCTCATGACTAAATGTGGTCGCCTATGATACTAGGACTAATAGGTCAAAATGGGTTTGTGTTACAGGTGTTGAACGATCTACTCTACACAGGTGTGGGCTTACAGGGCTAGGGCTCAAAAACCATGGACCAGTCGAATCATTAGCTATCTTAACTATAATGGGTCATCGATTATTTCATGCTTAATATTGGTGAAAAACTCGGCCGGACTACAAAATGTTTCTCCATGGATAGATACATTTTGGGTATCCCTCCTGACTCTTGAAAATAAGGAAATATAGAATACCATTCTTTCAGGTGTCCTTAGGTTGGTGCTTCAAGGTAGCACAACCATTATCAGTACCAAAGTAGCGGTCTCCAAACTCCCCCATGCCTGGGAGCACACGTAGATCCTTGTTTAGTGACACATCAATCTCCGATGTCACAATCTTTAACCTTGGGAACATTTTACAAACGGCATGTATCCCTTCAGGAGCCTGTATCTCGAAAGAAGAATTCCATAAGCAGGACAAGAATGATACCTCTGCGACAGAGTATAAACTAGAATGACTTACTGCTATTAGATTAAGGAAGATGATATTCGATTCTGGTACACCCTTGCTGAGCAGCAGAGAAATAGCTTTAACCGCAGAGTTTCCTGATAATACATAGAGCCTTTAGATGAGATATTTGGTGGAAATTATCGCAAGTTAGGTGTGTCTAACCTGATGCTAGAACTGGGTCAAGCAACAACACATGGCGACTAGCAATATCGGCTGGGAGCTTCTCATAGATCAACTGCCACAATGTTGTAGAAATGAATGTGTGTGTGTGTGTGNATTTTATTACAATGGATGTATCACTGGTCTTTCAGTTAAGGTGAACCACTTACACTTTGAGTATTCCATTATTCGCAAGTAAACCTCATATCCGATCAAATTCACTAATCTAAATAACAACCCATTGATTGGGCTTGAATTATTATTTCCGAGATCCCATCAAAAACAAACTATAAATTTAGATATTTTAAATTTAAATTTTGATAATTCTTTAGGATCAAACAATAAGGAATTATTCTTCACGAATATTCTAATCCCGACGTAAATGATTTACTTTTAACCGAATCGAAAAAAAGATTAATTAATAATGCACATAAACTGACTCAAACATTCTAATAGTTGAAAAAAAAAATTAACCTAAAAGATTGAATGAATTTTTGTTTTGATTATTGTACAAAAACAGGAGCCCCAACCAATAAAAATTATTTGTTGTAAATTCAAATCAATCTCATTTTCTGTGTAAGTGAGTCATATAGTCAAATACCAGTTGGGCAACTCCAACAACTTTTTTTTGGCATTCCCCTCCACTTTGAATAGAAATTATGTGTACTTCGTGTTTGAAGGTTCGACGTAATATAAATAATTTTAAAAGGGATGTTAATAGTCATTGAATGAGATTANTATTATGTGTACTTCGTATTTGAAGGTTCGACGTAATATAAATAATTTTAAAAGAGATGTTAATAGTCATTGAATGAGATTATTTGAAACCGTCGAATGAAATTATTGAAACTTATTTTCTTTTATATTATAGATATCAAATACTAACTGTATTGATCAAATTTTGGCCAAATATCTTATCCCACGTTAAATCCTAGCATATCTCAATTTTTTACTTATGCATTATATAAATTTGATACAAAATATTTGACATATCAGTAAGAGTGTAAAGTAAAAATATCAAATATTATATGTCACATTTGACATTTGCCATCTTTGTTGAAGATGCTCTGAGCGGTAGGGACTGACCGCTTCAAATGCGTGGAGACGGGGCCACAGCAGGGACTTGTGCGCTCCGAGCAAGCATTGTCGATTGGGCCTCATCGATGCCGCAGTGGCCCGAAACAAGCCCCCACTCCATATGTTCCACCAAGACCCTCACTCCGAGTCCCGGTAACCCCACCTCTTCTTCTCCTTAATTAGGGCTTAGGGTTTTGTATGCACATTTTACAGTTTTTAATGAGTTGATTATGCCACCATTACAGAGCGATTCCTGTTGTTATTTGACTCCTTTGATTGAATTGACGTAATTTTAATTCGGGCTTGTTGTAGTTGGAAGTTAATCTGTAAGCTAACAGGAGTTATAATCAATAAATCGGAGGATCATATATGGAAGCCCATCAATGGAAAGAAATTCTTGAACATGTTGGGTTTGTATTTATGCTCTCTTCTTCCAAGTTTAGTTTATGAATTACAGCCAAAAAAAATGACAAAATCTACAAATTCACCAACCTATCCAACTACTAAATTCCAATCAAACGAAAGTCAACTTGATCAGTCTTTACTTTTGAATTCCACGAGAACATAAGCCAACCTAGAGAGGTGACACAGACTGAAAATTGTAATGCTGATGCAAAGGAGAAGGAGAAGAAGAAGAAGAAACTTGCAGGTGCAGTTAAACTGATGGTAGAAAGTCAAGAGTGCAGTTTAACTGATTGTAAAAGCTTAAATTAAAAAGGTGGTGGCAATTATCAAAACTACAAAGTAGTTCTGCTCAAGTCATTTTTGCTTTGAGGGTATTTGTGAGATTTTGGGATATTCTTGTTCAGTCAATTTTGAAGTGATAAATTATATTTTTGCTCAGTAAATTCAGAATGGGGAGAGAAATTAGTTTTTTTCTTTACTGTTTTGTCTACCTTATGTGAAATATTTATTCTGGTTTTGTTGGGTGGTAAGGATTTATTTATATTGTGTAGAGTCAACATAGAAACTTGCAGGTTCGAAGCTGAATCGTCGTAGGAAAAAAAAAAGAAGCAATCATCGTGATTTGTTTGGGAAGAATGGGTTCGTCAAAACCAGGTGGAAAGGGAAGGGACCAAGCTCAAAAAATTTGTTTGGAATAGAGCTCTTTTATTGCAGAATTAGACTTGCTATTAATGTCGGCTTATTTGTTAGTCGCATTGGGTCTGTCGCTAGCGGCTATTTGCAAAAAAATGAGGAAAAAACTCAGTAGAATGTTGGATAAGCGAAACATACAAGATCACAAACGGAGATTGCTCATGACTAAATGTGGTCGCCTATGATACTAGGACTAATAGGTCAAAATGGGTTTGTGTTACAGGTGTTGAACGATCTACTCTACACAGGTGTGGGCTTACAGGGCTAGGGCTCAAAAACCATGGACCAGTCGAATCATTAGCTATCTTAACTATAATGGGTCATCGATTATTTCATGCTTAATATTGGTGAAAAACTCGGCCGGACTACAAAATGTTTCTCCATGGATAGATACATTTTGGGTATCCCTCCTGACTCTTGAAAATAAGGAAATATAGAATACCATTCTTTCAGGTGTCCTTAGGTTGGTGCTTCAAGGTAGCACAACCATTATCAGTACCAAAATAGCGGTCTCCAAACTCCCCCATGCCTGGGAGCACACGTAGATCCTTGTTTAGTGACACATCAATCTCCGATGTCACAATCTTTAACCTTGGGAACATTTTACAAACGGCATGTATCCCTTCAGGAGCCTGTATCTCGAAAGAAGAATTCCATAAGCAGGACAAGAATGATACCTCTGCGACAGAGTATAAACTAGAATGACTTACTGCTATTAGATTAAGGAAGATGATATTCGATTCTGGTACACCCTTGCTGAGCAGCAGAGAAATAGCTTTAACCGCAGAGTTTCCTGATAATACATAGAGCCTTTAGATGAGATATTTGGTGGAAATTATCGCAAGTTAGGTGTGTCTAACCTGATGCTAGAACTGGGTCAAGCAACAACACATGGCGACTAGCAATATCGGCTGGGAGCTTCTCATAGATCAACTGCCACAATGTTGTAGAAATGAATGTGTGTGTGTGTGTGAGAGAGAGAGAGAGAGAGAAAGAACTTTAGGGAAGCATCTTGCGCAAACCTGCCGGCCATTGTTGCCCTCTCCATGGATGAGGATTTTACCAATTTTGATTCCCTTACAACAAGCTCTTAGTGCATTTTCCATACTTTCCCCACTGATGTCAGGAAACTTGTGTAAGTACTACTCAGTTATTCTACTCGATCCACACAAATAATGCAATCCCACAGAAATTGATGCTTTTATAACAGTTCAGATTACTTGAACTCGTAATGCAATTTTCAGGCAAATTAATGCTTCCATTTGGGCACGGCTAAACAGCTTCCATCTGAATATTTCATCGTGATATTTTTTTTTTTAATCAGAGATAAACTACAACATTTTTACTTAAAAGTAAAAATGTTATAGCTGTCATATAACCCACATACACCCAAAGACTATCCGATGTGGGATAGCCCCAGCCCATCACCAACCAGGCCCAAAGGCCTCCCTGTTCATAGACAGGCCTAAGAGGGATGCAGCTAAGCCCACATGGGACCTACCCTGAACACAGATATGTTTTGTTTTTATTAGAGTCAAACTATAACATTTCTATTTAAAAGTAGAATTGTCATAGCCGTCATATAACCCACACACACACACCCAAAGGCAATCCGATGTGGTCATCGCAATGTTTCAATATGGCATTTTTGTAATGAAGTCACATGAATAGTGAAACATTCATTTCTCATGCAAAACAAATCATATTATGTGTTTGTTGATCATGCAAAACAAATTGAAGTCACTTCCCTATAGTAAGATTTACTGTTTTTCGGGGCCATGTTACAGTCTACATGTCAACTTAATAGGATGATTTTCAAACTCTCTTCACAATTAGATCTAAACAAAGGTTTGGAAGAAGGTTTGTTCATAACTGTTTGTCTTTATCCATTGTTAGTGCATGAACATTGTTGTTACAGTTCTGTTTAGTAGAGAAACTCGCACAAATATGAAATAACATGGGTTTCCTGAATACAAATCAGACTACGAATGCAGGCTCTTTTCATTCACCAAACACCAGATTAGTAGAGTAAATACCTTCTAATAATTGAAACCCCACAGAGCCTTTTACAAAAAACCACACCAGTATATATAGATCCTGCACATGATTAAAAAAAAAAAAGAGGGCAAAAGGTATTATTCCACCTACTTTGAATGCGTTAACAGTATGACTTATTTAAGAAGATCTGGAATGTTGCTGGAATCCGAATAGATAAAAAGTATACGTCAAGATCAATGAGAAAAACAATACAGAATCTTTCTCTGTCTCCATTTTTGACTATTGCGAGGTGCAGGGGACAAATTTCCAAAAGCTATAATGGACTCAACATGCGGGGTGGCCCCCATAACCCTGACGCCCAATCTTAGCTTGCATTTTATTTTACCTTCACAGTAAAGGCTACTGGATCAATCCAGTGCTTCAGGTCTATTACCTGTCAATTAGTGAAATTTTTCCTTGGTTCAACAATGTATGATGTTTTTTCTGTTGGAAATAGCCAGAAATAGCACTCGCAGAGTCACCTGTTGGAGTAATGATCTGTTTTTCGGTGAAAGGAAGGTGACCAAGACCATGCTCCACAACCTGAAACATTGATTCAAAAACCATATTTCATTACATGCTGATAGGTTAATTGATTACAACTTCAAATGAATCTGTCATACCAAGCGAATGAGACGATCTGCATAGAAAACGAAATCATGCTTCGTTGTTTTGACATCACGTACAAGTGTGTGCATCCCACGTATCTGGACCAAAATTAAAATATCTATGTAGTTTCCACCCTTTTATATTTGTTGAAATAAATTCGAGACCTCCAATCCAAAATAAAGATTTGCTATGAGCCTAATCAGATATGAAGCCGAAACTGGTACCTGAAATGTTGAAAATATTACAAAAACATTTGGATAAATTTTGCACAGATCATGCTGTCCAAGCTTTGAACGAATGTGTTGTACTATCAGGTCGATTGCAACCTCATTATCAGCTCCACGAGGGATGATGATATCTGCATGTTTCTTGGAAGGGAGTATATATTCCTCAAAACTAGGCTTCACAAATTTAGCATACTGCAAATCCGGGAGTATTTCTTTGTCAGAACAATACCTAAGCATTACAGCACTTTGAACAGAGCACATGATTAGCAAGTACATATGGTATAAATGATATAAACATCATTGTTCTGAGTACTATCTTAATTAATATCTTGTCATATTGCTTGTTTCAAAAGAAGAGAGGCGTAGCACTCCCAACACTTCATTTGTCAGAATATTTAGGAAGAGGTGAAACAGGAACAATAAAAACCAAACAATAGACCAATAAGAATCTGAAAAATGTAAATGCTAGGAAAAACACTGAACCAAAAATTCTTCAAAACTAGAAAATGGAACTACCATGGGTAGTGTAATCATTTATAGAGGCCAATGATACAACTGAAAAGAAATTTTGCCTTACAGTTTCATGTCCTGTTATTTGGGAAGAGGAAAACTCCAAGTGTTCAAGATAGTTTGTTCATGACCTTATAATGAGTCAAATGGAGCTTCGTCAGTACAGCCATGCATGGATATAATGCTTTTGATGGATTAGAGATAGAGGTCAAATGGTGTCAATATCGCATTGTTCAAGGACTGGTATCGTCAAACCACTTTCACACGTAAAGCCAAAGAGGAGCAGACAACAAAAAATGCCCATGGGCTTCTGCATTGTGAATTCACTTGAAATTTGGAATTAGATAAAGCACTAGATCATGCATCCATAAACGTTAAAATATGCATGAGACTAGTATTTGAAAAAAGCACAACCAAGAATGCACTCATCAACGTTAAAAATGGAGAATATAATGTGCTCCTACCTCCTAATGACAGATTACTAACACCACAAAAAAATTCACTAATTACTTGTAGTCTCCATTACATTTGCTAACATAGCATTGGAAAGTCTACTGACCTGGTCAAGAACAATCTGAATGTTTCTGCCCCTCTCAACAGTATCCCGCTTTATCCTCCTTGCAAGCCTCACATCAGAATCTGCACTGGTGATATTAAAACGATGGTTATTGCACAAAGGAGACAACTAAAAAAAATTCTCAATTTGACATTGGGAGAAATAGTTTGGCCTTTGGATCTGTCCTATTGTTTCAACTTTAAAGGGGAACAAAATGAGAGGTTTAACTAAAATGATTGCCTTCTTAGAATAATATCTTAGGTTGGAAACTTTCTACAGATCAAAAGGCTTGGTGTTTTCTACGACATCATTGACATGTCAATTTAATTTAAAATGAGTTTGTTACCTAGTGCACTGGTANAATATCTTAGGTTGGAAACTTTCTACAGATCAAAAGGCTTGGTGTTTTCTATGACATCATTGACATGTCAATTTAATTTAAAATGAGTTTGTTACCTAGTGCACTGGTAAAATGCTTGGGCTGACAACCGAAAGTATTTTGTGAAAGCAATGTCACAGGATAAGTCTTTACTTGGTGGTTTTTTTTTAACAGATCTTTACTTAGTCCAGTGTCCTCAGTTAACAAGTACAAAACCGAATAATCACTTTATGTTGTCTAACACGTAGCATAGATAGAAACTGAATCGAAATAAAGCTCTGAGAAAAAAACCTGTATCAACAAAGATCTTCATGTTCATGAGGTCACGGGCACGGGGAGCNAATAGCATAGATAGAAACTGAATCGAAATAAAGCTCTGAGAAAAAAAACCTGTATCAACAAAGATCTTCATGTTCATGAGGTCACGGGCACGGGGAGCATGAAGAATTAAAATTCCTTCTAAAATGATGACATCTGAGGGGTTAACCTATGATTGGTTAAAAACCAGCATTAATTTCAGTAATTTGATTTCATTGAAACTTGAAAATGTGTTGCTGCAAGATGATGATGATATAGTAACAGAAGTAAAATTATATGAAGAAAATAATATCTTGCTTGATTGCATCATAACACAATCAAAGTTACTACTATGTTCTAGTCAGATTTCAAAATTCTGGTCCTATGTCTTATTATGTAAATGAATTGCATGAACAATGTAAGGAGCGGTCACTCTTCAGGCAATGTGAGAATACCCCTTACTGAACATCTAACCCAAAAGGTGACAAAGGTACTGTTATATGAAAAGCAATCTGGTTCTGTGGTTCTAGACGATAACATATTGACTAGCACTTGCAATTTATTATGCATCAAGCTCATGTAAAGATCATTTCAAATCGGAAAATCTTGCAAAAATCTCTTTCACAAAGAATATTGAACTTGAACAAGTAGATATTAATACCATGCGTTCTGGCTCAACTTTCTTGTGGCTCTTGAAATCATAATTTGGGATGCTAACTGCCTGCCCGCGTTGTAATGTTTCAAGGCATGATAGCAGAAGCTCTGTATTGAAGGCATCTGGAAGCATCCATATCGTGAATGGACATGATTAGAAGTATACATCTCTAATGAACCCCATGACGTGCATCAATATGCAGATCATTCGTGCTAAGAGACTATTAACTCCGTTGAAGCTGCTTACCAGGATGATCAAAGTTGTACTCGTGGACTTTTTCTAATTGGTCATTACTCAGCGAATGATAAAATGAATCCTGAAAAGACCACATAATAATATGAGTCCACAAAGTTTGCTTCGATGAGATGTTGGATTAGTATAATGTGCCAATTTCCAATTTCAAGTTACTATAGGAAAATATCACCTTTTTTTTTTCCTCGCATTATTGAACATAAAGATAGAACGAAACTCACCTGATTGACAAGAACAACACGTTGATCATGGAGCTGTGAAATGATCATATTGCAAACGGTTGTCTTGCCAGATGCAGTCCCACCAGCAACACCTTTAATATGAAAAATTGAAAGCCTCCAATAGTCATATTTGAGTCAACAATTCATCTCATATGCTCTAAATACACACCCTCCTCCCTACAAAACTAATGTTTCTCTTTTCTTTAATTTGTTTCACTATAGTCTACCCAATTAAATGATAATTGTGTAAATCAACTATAATACGGGAATATTTGCGTAGTTGGTCTGTCACATAAGGGATGAAGTATAGGGCTAGAGAATCCACTTTTGACTTATAGGATCGCCTAGGCCATGCCATTAGGAGCAAATTTTCTCTTTCACTTTAATTTCTGTCACAACACGAAAATCGACTGAGCAAACAATTGTATTTAGGAATCGATTAAGATACGAAAAACAACAACTACAATAACAAAATTATCATGGTTAAACCAAAAAGATTGAATGTGAAATAGCCTTACCAATTATGAATGGCTGATTATTGGGGACATGCTCTGAGTCACCATTTGATTGGATTGAGAAGTGATCTTTGACGCTATTAGTCAATGTCGCCTCCATTTCAGAATCGATCATCTCTCAGAATATGTAATTAACGGAACATGTGCTCCATGACTTGCGTTCTAACTTCTAATTCAATCTACTGAAGATCTATATGAATTTCTCGTCCTAATTAAACAATGAAAATTGATATTGACAACCGAATGATGAGCGAGAAATCAAATGAATCTCGAAACATGGGAGAGGGAAATCAGAACAGTTAAATAAACAATAATCAAATTGATACGTGATCATAATTCAAGGATCGGTATTGTTTTAATGTGGAGTTACCTTCACGACATATGGAATTCATGCCATCACAGAACTCTTTTAAATGTTTGAATGCTGAGAATGCTATTATCGTTGTAATTCTCAGGCCTGACCGTATATATGCAGGAGAGAGAGAGAGAGAGAGAGAGAAGTTCGTGTTTTCTGTTACATTTGGAAGGAAACAGAATTAGCGGGAAAAGCGAACTTCTAACATTGACACGTGTCTACCACTCATATGCCCACTGGCGGTTGGCACTCGTCCATGCAATTGCATCATGAGATGACGCGTGCCCAGGGGAGGGTTAGACTGTAGAGAGTGGGGTGTCAAATTGGAGAAAATGGCTACCACCCAATCCCAACTCCAGCCCAACCCAAAAATTCACATTTGGGCAAAGGTAATTGGGACTATACCCGGAACTCGAATTCCCAAGCTAACCCCTAAACCCAACCCGAGTTCAACTTGAATGGTTTACTTGAGAATAGGCTTATCAATGAATCGGATTTTGACTGATTCAAATTTAAATTCAATTTTAAAAAGTTGATCCAAATCCGAATCCGATAATTCAAAGGATTTTATTTTCTGATCCATATCCAAATCCTTTAACGATCCAAAATCCAATTCGAATAACTTAATTAACTAAATTTAAACAAATTATACCTACATTTCAACTAAATTTTTTGAATGATTACTTTATTTATTTAATATTTATATAAAAAATATATAAATAATTCTAATCGAATTACAAGCGGATCAAATATAGGTATATCCAAAATCTAAATCTAAATTTGTGAAATATAAGATATCGAATTCGAATTTATATTATCAATAATAAATATTAATCCATAGCTGGCTAATTGGATTCAGATCAAAATTCAATCAATTGATAGGCCTGCTTAAGGATAAAATTTGAAATTTGGATTCAACATGAGTCAAATATGAATTCAACCCGATTTTTTTGCTCTAACTATACAATACAACCCAAGTTGCAAACCTAATTTCAACTCGGATTTTATATCCCAAGTTGAACCAAAATTAAAACTTATAGACAAATACAATACTAAAGNTCGAGTTCAACTTGAATGGTTTACTTGAGAATAGGATGAATCGAATTTTGACTGATTCAAATTTAAATTCAATTTTAAAAAGTTGATCCGAATCCGAATCCGATAATTCAAAGGATTTTATTTTCTGATCCATATCCAAATCCTTTAACGATCCAAAATCCAATTCGAATAACTTAATTAACTAAATTTAAACAAATTATACCTACATTTCAACTAAATTTTTTGAATGATTACTTTATTTATTTAATATTTATATAAAAAATATATAAATAATTCTAATCGAATTACAAGCGGATCAAATATAGGTATATCCAAAATCTAAATCTAAATTCGTGAAATATAAGATATCGAATTCGAATTTATATTATCGGTAATAAATATTAATCCATAGCTGGCTAATTGGATTCAGATCAAAATTCAATCAATTGATAGGCTTGCTTAAGGATAAAATTTGAAATTTGGATTCAACATGAGTCAAATATGAATTCAACCCGATTTTTTTGCTCTAACTATACAATACAACCCAAGTTGCAAACCTAATTTCAACTCGGATTTTATATCCCAAGTTGAACCAAAATTAAAACTTATAGACAAATACAATACTAAAGTTAAATTCGAATTTTACTTGAGCAGAAATTGACCTCTAAATCCGCCCATGCCTTTCCAATTGGACTTCTAGTTTAGGGTAATAGTTCCTTACTTCCTTGTGAGATTGGGGTGTCTTTCCATAATTCTTCGCACTATTGGATATTTGTCATCCGTATAAAAGTAAATGTCTACTATCACTGAGTGAGATAATCCAGTGGAGTACCGATCAAACTTCTTATTTTGAGATTAAAGGTTCAAGTTTTAGAGTCTAATTGAAGTTCGGTGATCGACCATTATGTTATCCTAATTATGTTCGTTTTTAAGAAGAGTAACAGACGCGATCAGAGACATTATAATCTCACCTGTGAGGGCCAATCGATAGAATTGTTAATAAAACTGAGCTATTTGAATTCGGCTCGGATTCAACTTACTTTTGGTTCGTTTCAAATTGGTTGATTTTTTGAACAAGCTGAATTTGAACAATTTTATAAGTTCGTTTAAAAAAAACCCAAAGAGGCTCGATTCAATTATGTGCAAATACTCGGGCTCAACTTGTTTAAACTCAGCTTGTTTTTTTAACAAATTAAACTTGAATAATTTTTTAAACTCAATCAAAAAAACAAACTTTTAGACTCGAACTCGTTCTATTATCGACCCTGCCTATCGGAGTAGTCTCTGAACGCTCTTCTTTACCCTTTCCTTTTTTTTAAATATCAAAAAAAAAAAAGAAGCAAATCTCCACTAATATACACCAAGTGATCTAGCATTGAAGGAAACCGAATAGCAATGTTACTTGGACAAAAAATATTGACAACTTTTATTGACTCTTAACATTACTGTCATTGATTTAACTGTACATCCCAATATTTATTGAAATTTACTATNACCCTTTCCTTTTTTTTAAATATCAAAAAAGAAAAAGAAGCAAATCTCCACTAATATACACCAAGTGATCTAGCATTGGAGGAAACCGAATAGCAATGTTACTTGGACAAAAAATATTGACAACTTTTATTGACTCTTAACATTACTGTCATTGATTTAACTGTACATCCCAATATTTATTGAAATTTACTACCTATTCAATGATTGTGATGGAAGAAATCCATGTAAACCAATTTCTTGGTACAGAAAAAAGGATATTGGAATCTTTTAGCTAGTTCTTCTGCTGAGGAACTGGATTCCTTTATTTTGCAGCCCTGCATATGCTGCAATAAGGGCAAAAGGAAGCTGGTTATTGATAGCTTTGAATCAGGAAGCACATTACGATACATGAGTTTCCCTCAACTTGAAACCATTGAATAGGGCGAACTCTGCAAAACTACACCGTCACAAAGAACCATATAACAACCAATTAGGCGATTGCAGGTTTTTTTTACCTGGCTTCAAATGTAGAAAAAGATTTTCAGAAGAATAATCCACTATCAAAACTACAACTTGAACATGACAAGCTTCAGTGGCAGTTCTCTGTTTTGCCAAAAGCACAGTACAGGGAACTCTTACGAGTGCACCGTGGATGGTCGAAATTAAGGGAAAAATGAAGTTTGGGAAAATGCCATGCTACCCTTCAAGGCAAAATTAATCTCATGAAAAGTACATCTAAATACATACAGATCCACTAATAATGTGTGAAAACCTTAGCTTGCTTCGGTGGTGATTGTTAACAGATGTATCTCTATATGGCTGCACTTTAAACAGGCTCGTTGTATCTCTATATGGTTTCAGGCAATTGAAGCTGCAACTGGGTCCAGTTCCGTCTTTTTCCTTATTCCTGTAAAGGGCTTCCAAATTACAGCTGTGGTGGCGCCTGTTCAAAGCATGCAATAGTGTAGTTAAACCTGAAGCATGCAATATTGTCAAAACATTCACTGGTGTCATTTTAGTGATTGATTCAAAATATATACAAACACGTAAAGCTTATGCAAGATTGAAAGGTGCAAATGGACGCAATTATAAGATTTAAAATAAGCATATACCCANTCTATTCAATGATTGTGATGGAAGAAATCCATGTAAACCAATTTCTTGGTACAGAAAAAAGGATATTGGAATCTTTTAGCTAGTTCTTCTGCTGANCCTATTCAATGGTTGTGATGGAAGAAATCCATGTAAAACAATTTCTTGGTACAGAAAAAAGGATATTGGAATCTTTTAGCTAGTTCTTCTGCTGAGGAACTGGATTCCTTTATTTTGCAGCCCTGCATATGCTGCAATAAGGGCAAAAGGAAGCTGGTTATTGATAGCTTTGAATCAGGAAGCACATTACGATACATGAGTTTCCCTCAACTTGAAACCATTGAATAGGGCGAACTCTGCAAAACTACACCGTCACAAAGAACCATATAACAACCAATTAGGCGATTGCAGGTTTTTTTTACCTGGCTTCAAATGTAGAAAAAGATTTTCAGAAGAATAATCCACTATCAAAACTACAACTTGAACATGACAAGCTTCAGTGGCAGTTCTCTGTTTTGCCAAAAGCACAGTACAGGGAACTCTTACGAGTGCACCGTGGATGGTCGAAATTAAGGGAAAAATGAAGTTTGGGAAAATGCCATGCTACCCTTCAAGGCAAAATTAATCTCATGAAAAGTACATCTAAATACATACAGATCCACTAATAATGTGTGAAAACCTTAGCTTGCTTCGGTGGTGATTGTTAACAGATGTATCTCTATATGGCTGCACTTTAAACAGGCTCGTTGTATCTCTATATGGTTTCAGGCAATTGAAGCTGCAACTGGGTCCAGTTCCGTCTTTTTCCTTATTCCTGTAAAGGGCTTCCAAATTACAGCTGTGGTGGCGCCTGTTCAAAGCATGCAATAGTGTAGTTAAACCTGAAGCATGCAATATTGTCAAAACATTCACTGGTGTCATTTTAGTGATTGATTCAAAATATATACAAACATGTAAAGCTTATGCAAGATTGAAAGGTGCAAATGGACGCAATTATAAGATTTAAAATAAGCATATACCCAATCAAGAAAGCAGATTCACAGTATTGGAACTCCCTCCTCCCACTGTCTCTTCCTTGCAATCAAAACTCTTTCTTCTTTTGACGAGAGCACATCGGTCTTTGGTTCTACTTCTGATATCCAACCATCCCATCTCAAGGCAGCCAAGAATTTTCGGACATGGTTTATGACAGTAGGTTTGTCTCTTATGATGACAAACCCTTCTGGCCGTAGCACACGATCCATTTCAATCAGCAGATCTTCTGTGCTACAGCCACGCTCAATCTCTGACAGGACTGTCCATGCATGAAGAACGTCATAGGTGCGTGGGTATGTAGAAAATGATTCACACCTGTATATACATTAGTTGTTNTACGATCCATTTCAATCAGCAGATCTTCTGTGCTACAGCCACGCTCAATCTCTGACAGGACTGTCCATGCATGAAGAAGGTCATAGGTGCGTGGGTATGTAGAAAATGATTCACACCTGTATATACATTAGTTGTTAGAACAAAATAACAGGAATAAAAACCAGTTGTGGTGCTACAGTCCATATCTATGTCAGAGGCACAAACACTTAATTTGTCCAAATGCTTCTTCATTTTTGGGTATCATGTCATGACTCATGAGGAGAACACAAGATCCATGGTATCAAATACACAGTTGTTTGCCCATCGACAAGCCTCACATGACTTCACTACCACCATGTTGACTTCACATCTACAACGATCCCATCTTGTATTTTGTGCTTCTCCCTTGCTTAACTTTGCAAGTTTTGATCCCTTGAGTACCATTTACATAATCCCAAAAAACAGCAGCCAAGGCACGTTACAGCTGTCAACAAGTCATACATAATGGTGGCTTTCCAATGATTTGAGACAAGAGGCCAAAATACAATTAATATAACGAAATTTCGTGATTATTTCTAGAAAAGCATAGGAGACGAAAAAAGTGACTTGCTACTTCATTATTGAACTGCTTGTTAAATATGTAGATGTACTTTATGTACAACAAAGACTGTTTCCCAAATGCTGAAGTATGAAATAATGAAATCAAGTTATGCAATGCAAGAGATTGAAATAAAGGCATTTATGAACTTTTTCAGCTTAAACAACAAGCTTCACTGTCTTTGCACATCGCATACCCTTCTTCAAAGTAGCAAAGCAATTTCCATTCACACCCCCAGAACCAGAGGGAAAACAATAAGAACAAAAAGGAAAGTACTAGTAGTAGCTAGGCTCCTCTCTAACCACTTACACAACGAATTATTCCAAATACCAGAAATGGTGAAAGTAATTAAATTGCCTCCTCTACCTACAATTTCAACATTATCATAGAGAGTGTTGTCACAATTCCTTGAATCTAAGCACAGAATTTAATCTTTGTGAACAAGCCCACCAGAAAAACATACACCACCACTAAAGCAAACTATCCAATATTCACCAAACACCAAGTCCAAAACTAACACAGCCAAAACAAATCCAGTAAAGCTAGATCCAAAATCCTACTCAGCCTATTTATTGCATAAAAACATAAATTTATATCATCTATCACATAGAGTCAAACATGAAGCCATGGGGCATCATTGAGATTAAATGCTTACCAGTCGTGAACTGTTCCAATCAAGCCTCGATCANTATAGAGTCAAACATGAAGCCATGGAATGCATCATTGAGATTAAATGCTTACCAGTCGTGAACTGTTCCAATCAAGCCTCGATCATAAATTATCTTCAATCTGGAAGACGCATTGATGGGAGCAACGTTCATCACCCAAACATCTTTATCTTTTAAAGCAGCTGCAAACCCACCAAGATTTGCATTCATATCCATTACATTTCTGAAGGAGTTCTTCTGTAAAACAGACTTCATCTGCTTCCAGTACTCAATCACTCTGTAATGCCATAAGATCTGCATCACATGAATCTGTTAGTGACTAAAAGACAACTTTAAATCAAAAAGTGGTAACAACGTGGCAAGTAGACACTTTCATCGCTGTAATTCAAGATACTTACAGTGTCTTCTCGAAATTCATCCGGACTGATACCAATTTCTTCAAGGCGAGGTGGTGCTGCTGTAAGCCTTTGCGGCCAAGACTCTAACCCACTCCCTTTTCCCTTGTGCATCTCTGTTTTGTCAAAGAAGGGACACTTATGTGAAAAAAATGATCATGATAGTGACGATATGATGATGACAAGGATAGGGGCAAGACAATAATGAAGAGAAATCTAATCACCGCCACCAAAAAAATATATTACAACAACAGCACTGTGAATGCTAGTATCTGTGGGCACCCGGATTAAGTCATCCAACAGAAACATTCTAAACCGTTGCACGAACATCACTTCCAAATGAATATCAATTTGAGCCCCCAAGCTTTTAAGAGTGACTCAATATAACATCCATTAAATGAAAATTCTTATCCTCTCACACTATCTCTCAAATACTAATCCTTTTTTGTCAATTTATTTTCTTCACAATTATACTTTCTCATTGCATAAAAAATAAAGAGACACATCCAGCAACAAATCAAATATGTCATTCTGAACCATATTTATCAGGAAGATAGAAAAATTAAGTAAAAGGACCATGGCAACAAGCTTCACTTCACGTAATATTAGTACTATGTATTACTATGATCTTCACCAATCAGCACCACCTTTTCNCATTCTGAACCATATTTATCAGGAAGATAGAAAAATTAAGTAAAAGGACCATGGCAACAAGCTTCACTCCACGTAATATTAGTACTATGTATTACTATGATCTTCACCAATCAGCACCACCTTTTCCTTCTTATTTCCCCTTTTTCCATGTTCATAACCCATGCCATCTGACTAGCCTTACAAAAATGTGGTCTAGAAACTAGCAAACCGCGAGGTCATTATTTTCACTCTGTAGTGACTTGCATCAGAATAAGGGATTTTTGCTTCAATCCGTGGCAAAACCTCAGGCTGTGAATCATGAGGACTCGGATTGTAGACAAAGTGAGCAATGAATAAGATTATGTCGGTCTTAAAAACGAGTGAGAAAGCTAAAGATTAGGTATTTACCTAGTCCATTCCTCCCAACAACCCGATTATTAGGTTCAAACACTATACGGCCTCCATTTCGTATAAGAATATCACCTTTTTCTTAACCAATTTAGTCAACTATAATGACGTGATCACTCCTCTCGTGTCCCAACGTATGTATACAGTATACCTGCCAAGTGCCCTTATATTTATATCTTCTGAAAAACTGCAATTACAGGTTTATGCTTTTTAAAACTGTATCTCTTTTAGGAACCAAGCATAACTCTGTTGAGAAAGGGCACCACGGCTACTTGTTCCCTGTACATGGTTCCACGGGTGGAAATTCTTTCAAGTGATGTCATATATTTAGTTGTTTACCAAGGTTAGGCTATATGTAGTACTACTATAATGTCCAAATTCCTTGGACCCTGGCACCTAGCGGCAGCTTGAACATATTTTTGTCATCTTTGAGGTGGGGTATAGGGCTTTCTAGGTGTTTTGGGTAGTTCACAAGGAGTTTAGAACTGTGAACTTGTGACCCCAAATCCTCAGAGAGTGAAGCCATAACCTTCCCAATGCATAAAGAGCCGATGTGCTCATCATACTGACAAAAGTAACAAACTTGAGTCTCTAAACGTGACAAAATAGACCTAAAAGTCTTGCCAGCCATTAGAAAGACCAAATTGCCATTAACTATTCTTTTTGGCAATATAAATGAAGAAAGTATCTCCTGTTACAAATGCCACTTACTTGTCGAGTATGGGGTGATGCATGCCTTCATGAGCACATTCCAAGTTGCATCTGGATCATCATTGGAGCTGCATAAGGGAGGATGGGTCCCAGGATCTCTCTTTGAGTAACAGCTATTACTCAGTGATTTGGCCCATATGACAGTCTGGTCTCTCCTTGAAACAACTCTCCAGCACATCCTTTTTAGAAAGTCATACATGGCATTCCAAATTCTTCTATTCTCCGCATCATGAGCATAAGCTTCTGGTGACGAGTAAACAAAATAACCTCCTGGTCTAAGTAATCTGTCCAGTTCTAATAAAAGAATCCCATCTCTCTGAAGCCAATCAATCCTACAACGAGAACAATGAGCTAGTTCAAATGATCTACTCGGATAAGGTAGTCTTTTGGTCCCCAAGACACCCAAAGTAGATGGGATCCCCCTCTCAAGTGCAAACTGTATTTGATTCTCATGCACATCATTAGGTGCAATTGACATAGCTATTATGTCGAGAGGAAGAAGATACGCCCCAAAACTTGCAACCCCACAGCCCACATCGAGTACATTGCGAATATTTCCAGCATTGTTGAGTTTATCACCAGGAAACTTAAGCATCTATACAAGTACAGCAATCGAACAGTCAAGGTAAGAAGGAACAAAATGAAGCAAATGACAGCTTAAATGGTCCAAGTCAACATCACATACCCCAGCAATAGCAGAAATGTACTTATCAGCTCCATCATGAAAATGTGTTCCCCCGCCAGGAAACTTTATTTTATCGCTATCCACAACCATCCAATTCTGATCTGATTTCTCTAGTGCAAGATGTGTATGTGGTATGTTTGCTTTCCAAACTTCATCCCTACTCGCAGGCCATCTAATTGGGATCTGGTATTCTTACAAAAACCTCGTTGGATTCAAAAGTATTTAATTCAAAACAAAATTTTGGTATATAACTCCCAGGGAACACCGAAAAAACAGGTAAAAAAAAAAGGGAAGGAAATATATTGACTGATTTCAAACTAAGCCATTAAGTTATATGAGGTTTAGTTAATTTAAGAGATTTATCTTCTTTGGCATCAAGTAATAATAATCCAAAATTCAAGATTCAGATCTTTAATTTTAGTATATCTTCTTCACAAATAAACAGAGTGGAGTTAATAACAATCACTAACCTTGTAAGCAACTGGAGGTGGAATAAGGCAATTGTAGCGCCGTTCGGGAGATGGACAATGCCGCTCATAATGCTCCATTAGAGTCAAATTAGGCTTCAATTTTAACTGATAAATCAGATTTCTATCCAAACACGGTATCAATTCCGAGTATCTCCTATCACATATCTGTAATATCAAGAAAAGAACCAGTCACCAAATCAAAACAAGAAGTGAACTTCAATAAAGAGAGTCATTAAGAGAATTGAAGCCGTAAAATTCAAATTTGCACATACTGGTATGGATTTAGGGCCTTCGGGATTGTGCTCTTGGTCTTCAAACAACTCATCGAAGTAGTCCCGCTTGTGAAGAAAACTTCCGATGACCGGATCAGTACCGTCGTCTAAGTTGGTAGCGTCGTCGGCTCGCGGCAGACGAGGAGCGAACACTGAACCGTTATACAGGCAAATCAATCCGAGCAAAGCAATTAATCCAAGCAAAACGTACTTGAACAGCTTCGTGGAACGAACAATCTCGCGGTTCAGCTTCATTCTGAGGTCGAACTCTGAGAGAGTCGTCACTACGGTTTAGCTCATGGTGTTAAAACCCTAGTTTCCGATCCATTCAGTAACGTCCAAGCAACGAATCCAAGTACTGCTGCTAGTAAGTCCAATTTGATTCTCTTCTCCTGAGAACTTTTGGAAATACATGTACGCGTGAATATATATATATATATATATAGCTATAGTGTGTGTGTTGCGTGTTTGTTAGAAGAGGAAGACAGCTCTTGTGGACAGACCGTTGAAATGCCTTTGTAGCCAGCGACCGCGTTGAACACCGTTCTGGTGTTGGGAAGAGCTGAGCTGGGGCAGGTTTTTTCGAGCTTTTCTCGTTCGTCGATGCCTTCTTATATAGCGGGTGCTGATTAGATGGACTCGAGCATGGGTGAGCAGCGTCGGATTAGTCTCTTATCCCGGAGTGAAGTGATAGTGAAGAATGGAAGAGTAGTGTAAGAAATTTATGTGTGATATTATTTAGATTTAATTTATTTATTTAATTTATTGATCTAATTATTTATAATTATTAGTAGAATTCACAATTAACAATTATAATAGATTAAGTCAAAAAAATAAGTCTAAATAATATTATTGATAAAATTGTTACCTTTAGACTTCTTTATTGAAACTTTATGGCTTGACATATTAGTAAGACAATAAACTATATTAGTTTTTTATAGTATCTAATAATACTATTCAAAATGGAAATATTCTGCTGTGTGTTAGGGTAAATGACATTTGGACCCCTGAACTATGCACTTAATTTTACTTTATTCCTAGAACTGTTGAATTATTCATAATTTTTCATTTTCCTAAATGGAAGTATTCGTTTTGATAAAAATTGTTAATGTGTTTGAGGAAAAGTAAGAAAAAACAGATAATTTTTGATTAAATTTATAATAAACGTTAATAATTGGTGTAATGTGAAATAAATAACATATTTAAATGTATAATATGATAAATATGAATGATAGTTGAGGAATAATATGAAAAACTATGAATAATAGTTGAGGAAGTCGAAACGTAATTTGCCCACTATTAAAAGACGAATTTTCTTCCGACGGGGCCGGTGGGGGTTGTAGGAATACAATGCTTCCCAACTTGGAGGCCCACTTTTCTATTTTTTGGGTAAACTGGAGGACCTTTGATGAATTGCTAGTTGTCTTTTATCTTTTGGACACGGTGAATGTCGTCTAATGAGAACATTTGCATTCTCTATTTTAGAGAGATTTTTTTTTAGAGACTGAAATATTTTATTAGTAAATAGTCAAGGGTGTTCGAGTCAATTCTTCTATCTAGTCCGACCATGATTATTCTCCTCCCTAATTCGGTTAAAAATAGATCATTCACGTTAGGACAAATGAATTCGTGAAAAATAAATCTCTTATAACTTAGTCATTCGAATTCAAAACGTTTAAATTTATAATTCATTCTTATTATTACATAAGTGACCCTTTGGGGTTGGAGTGAAATATTTTAGACTAATCCCTTATATTCTCTATTCTCTATTATCCTAATTGAACTTTTAACCAATACTAGAGAAAAAAAAATAAGAGAAATTTGTATTTTCTTTTATAACACTGATTAAGGAGCTTTCTTGAGTAACACTAATCTGATCTATTTGTTAATACTGTTAATTGGTTATATCATACTAACATGTAAAATTAACAACCTTATAACTGTTGTTATATGGAATCAATTATCATACTAAACTTTTATTCATTTTGGGCAAATTTAGTAGAAGTATTATGAGGGAATTAAATATTATAATGTACTATTTTTTTATTTAATCGGGCCTAATATTTTGTTTAGTAAGTAAATTTGATATCGTATTAATTTTAAAAACGTATATTTATTATATATTTTTTAAACGTTAGACATGTATTATGGAGATATTTTAATACCATAAAAATAGATGATATTATAATCCAACTCACACGTATTATTTTACACATTTATCATTATAACCCCTCAACTGATAAAATTAAACTGTCATTAATGTAACAAATATTGATTTAGGGTATTTTTTTTAATTTAACATTAATAAGATAAAATAATTTTTTAACCAAACAATTGATTGAATTAAATAATTACTATCCAACGTTTATTTTGTGTATCACCAAATATTAAATAAAATTATGTATTATTTTAATACCCTATTTAATCTTGTCTTTTGTCATTTTGTATTGTATAGACCAGATTATTTTTATCTAATCTATTTATTTCTAATACGGCAACCAAACAAGCCTTTTGTGTAATAATTTTGACCTTAATCTCTAATTTAATGTTGCTTATATCAATGTATTTCTTTTATGCAAAACGATATTTTAAATAAAAACATTAAAACCATGTTTTCTAGGCATGCTTTTATGTTAACACATTAAAAATAGTGGATTAAAAATATCGTTTTCATATGAGAAAATGATTAATTGAAGAATCAGTCAAAAATCATTGTACACATAACATAAAACTAAAAAAAAAAACATGAATTTTATGAAGAGGTCAAGTTATATATATACATTTACTCGTTTTGCGCAATTCCATAGCATTTATTCGTGCTCATTTGGTGGACGAATTATGAGTGGATTAATTATTGAATTGTATTATTATTTATTTAATTGGGTCTAATACTTTATTTGGTAGATAAATTTAATTTCGTATTAATTTCAAAATATATACTAATCGTATATTTATCATATAATTTTTTTTTTACGATAGATTTGTATTATGAAAGTATTTTAATACCACCAAGAGAGGCGATATTATAATCCAACCCAAATATATTATTGTACACATTTACTATTATAACCCCATAATTGATAGAGTCAAATTATTATCAACATAACAAATACTGATTGATGGTATTTTTGTTAATTCAACATTAATATAATTAAATAATTTATTTACCAAACAGCGGTTTAGACTAAATAACTATTATTTAATGCTTATTTTGTATATTATCAAATATTATATAAATTTACGTATTATTTTAATACTGTATTTAATGTTATCTTTTCTCCATCTATATTATGTTATAGTGCATTCCTTAATCCAACCCAGCAATTTCTACGGCGACCAAACGAGGGTGTCAAGAATGGGGTATGGGCCTTGCCACTCCACTCTTTTGGGTTCGTTCTTTCCCTGAATGTGTGCAAGTGGACAACCTTTATAGGCCCATGGCCCTAAAACTTGTCTGACCCGTTGTCTGATTGTGTATTCTCGCGAGCAATGCTGCTTGGACCAAAAATTAGGCTTGAAAAAATGAATAAGGATCTTGTAAGGGGTAGAATCCTCTACTAAAGATTTCGGCTTGACCTGGGTTAACCCACGCGGGTGATCCCCTAGTAGCCTTTACCTCTCTTCGTCAATAGGATCATTTCCTAAGGCAATCCCACATCGGAAGAAGTGAACACTTCTTATGACAGATGATTTAAAGGAAATAAAATCTTCAAATTTTAATTATTTAACCCAAAAATTTTATTCTAACAAATTATCTTCAAAACATCTAAAATAAATTTTGGTTACAGTAATACTTTATATGTAGAGTATCGCTATAGCGATTTGTAAATTTTTTTTATAATATTTTATCTCCTCTTCTCTCTTCTCATCCATTCTCTCTTTCACTATTTAAAAAAATAATAATGATAAAAAAAATGAAATAATATTTAAAAGAAGTAATTTAACTCCTATTTTTTTCTCATCCACAATTACAAGAGAAATGATAATATTTAAACTTAGATTAAAACGCTAATTGCAAGTATATTATGAGACTGACTAATACTTCCATTCTCCATACTTTGAGATAAGGGAATTTTTGCATTGATAAGATGGCAAGCCCGGGAAGCCATCAATCAGATCTTTTTGTGTTTTTTGAAAACCCATCGTCTGTGTTAGGTTTGTTCATTTTGAGTGACCTCTTTTGTATTTCTTTTACTAGAGGGTTTAAATAATTCATGTTTTATTTTCTAATGTACATAAAAAAAAAAAGAATAATGTTAGGTGAATTTAAAAATTAAATTTGATAATCTCAACTATTGAATAGATAATAGGTTCCGATAAATACTGATTATCAAGTCTACTTTTTAAGTCCACGTACAATACCACTGCTAAGAAAAAAAAAAAAAAANCGATAAATACTGATTATCAAGTCTACTTTTTAAGTCCACGTACAATACCACTGCTAAGAAAAAAAAAAAAACACTAATCGACTTCACCAACCGTTAACCTAATTACAAATATTTGTCATTATTACAGATTATATCCTCTTGCTAACGTGTTTACATCTCACAAATCTGAATCTCGATCCTAATCATTCCGGCGAGAAAACTTGCATGTGCCAGCCTTTCAAAAAAAGGGCACTTCAAAAAGTTATCATTTTTTTGGAGAAATTTTATTTTGCTCCTAAAAGATATACAATTTTTTAATTTATCCCTTAAATAATTAATTTTTCCATCTTACCCCATTAAAGAATAAAAAATATTATAATTTAATACATCATCTTGTTTTTTTTTAATTTTCCATTTGTTTTGTAATTTATGATTGGGCAATTTAACATAAAATAGACTGACGATTAAATAAAAATAAAAAGATAGACCACAGTGTAATTTTTTATTCTTTAAGGGATTAAGGACAAACTAAAAATTTTTATATTTTTCAGGAGGCAAAATGAGATTTATCCCATTTTCTCCCTATCCTTTTAAACATGTCGATCCGCCATTGAATTTCTGCAACATAATCAAGGTGTGAACGCATTTTCTGCAAGAAAAATGCAGCAGAGAATCTATTTTCCGACACCGAGGTTTGTCTCTCTCTCTCTCTCTCTCTCTCTCTCTCTCTCTCTCTCTCTCTCCTGTTCGTGTATCGATTCAAGTCTCAGACATGCTTCCACTTGCATATATATCTCTACATTGTTATTGTGGATGAAAGTGAGATGAATTAGGGAAGAAAAGAATACTCAAGGTTTTAGATCTGGAACAATGCGGCTTTAATTTTGTGATTTTGCCTTCGAACTACGGGCGGTTCTGCTTTATTCACTGCTGAATTTGGGTATTTTCGAGTAAAGTAGTGCAACTGTGCGGGTGCGGAAGGAGGAGGACATTGTTTTTGACTGGAGTTAGTTCTTTTATGACGTATGTAGTTATGGACTCGTTTACGTTTCTGTTTGTGCACGTATGTAAATTATGTCGGCGACGCAGAAGAGAAACTAAGTCGATAAGGGCCTGTGTGGCGGTCGGTGATTTTGGAGTTTATCTTTGGTCTCCTTACTCTCTGTTGTCTATATATTCGCTTTCATTGAGTTTCACGCATGGAGAATATAGGACCATTTTTATTGCATGCGTGGGTTATTTGTTAGACCTCTAATTCAAGGTCATACATTATTGCAATATATATATATATATATATATATATATATATATATATAT